TTATACAATCACAGTGCTATTTTAGGATACATTTTAAATCTTCCTATCAGTTTTAATTAAATAGGTATGTGTTGCTGTACTTGTTAAACTTTTCCAATTAATCTAGTTATGTGGTAGATGAGACAGCGTTTTGATAGAAAAATGGAATAGTTTTCTTATTCAGATTCAGTAACAACGGAGCATCTTCTGTGGGTTAACACTAACACTCGGCACCGTCACGCAGCCTCTCATCACACAACTCTTCCAGGTGGGACCTAGTTGTTGAGGAACTCATCCATTCATTCAGCAAATATTTACTGAGAGCATCCTATGTGCCAGGCATTATTCTTATTTGTAGATGAGGTGAAGTGGCTTCCAAAAGATTGCATACATAAGTCTACCTCTGTATTTACAGTTAAATCAAAGCAGTATAAAAAGTAATAAATCCGGAAGTCTGCCTCTGCTGCCAGAGGCCCTGTTTTACTATTTTTTGTATGTCCTTCCAGTGTTTTATTGTGCAAATTCAAACATTCCTATTCTGGGGCCTTTCTTACATAAAAGGGCTTTCTTTCTTACATAGTAGCATACGATAATATATGTTGTGGTTCTCTATCTTGTATTTCATGTTATAATAGGTCTGAGATATTTTTCATGCCAGTACAAGAGAGGGTCTTTGTTTTCTTCAGTAGCTTGATATTTCATTGTGTGTATAGTTGTTCCTCCATTAAAGGACCCTTGCATTGTGTCCAGTCTTTGCCTATTAAAGCTATAATAAATGAAATAACCTTGTACATGTGCCAAGTCATATACAGAGAATTTACACTTTATTTATGATCTTATATGGATAATTATCAAGCCTGCTGTCTTCTTTGTTATAATCTGAATAGTTACCTTATTTTATAAATAGAAATTTGAAACGAAGGCAAAATAATTTTCTTAAGGTTAGCGTGATCAGTCTTGCATTAATATAATTTGGGTGTCTTTTTAGTCTTTGATGTATTTGAGGCTTTCCAGTGCCTTGACTTTATTTTATTTTAGGTAGGTGTTATAAGCCCTGGCTTGTGTCACTTATCTGAGGTTAAGAATGAAAGCATTTTGATGTCAAAGGGTTGTTGCTCTTTGCTGTTGCTATTTTTAGTTTTCCACTATATTCTTGGAGTGAAAATACTAGGAAGAGTTTTTTTTCTAGATGCAAATTTAAAAGTAACTGACATATTAGCAGATTGAAATTTGAATTCATTCTTTTTTTAAAATACTAAAAATAAAACATTTTCTGTAACAAAAATGAAACACTACATGGTCGTGTCATCCCCTACTGCTTTCCCAACATCAGAGTGCAAGAGTGTTAGCAGTTTGATATTTAGCCTTCCACATGTTTAATGTTACTTATATATTTTTTGTATCTACTTTAAAAAAGAACACAAATAAAAATGTACTCTATAGTGTATTAATTTATATGAAGAAATATGGCTTCAAGCATTATGCTAAGATGATAGGATTTAAAATACAGTATACTTGTTTCAGAAATGTCTTGCCCCCTTGAAACACCAGTGGCTAGCTAAGGGATTTTTAATATATAGACATATGCACTCTGCATACTTTGTTGATGTACTTGTAATGTGTCAAGATGGCCAGTTTGTGTGGCCTCCTTAATATTTGCGTTTATAGCAGACTGCCTTTCTGATTCATGTTTCACAGGCATTGAAAAGCTAGGTCATGTTTTTAAGAGAAGGGAGAGACGTACAGATGCTCCCCCTCACTTTTCTTTTACATGACTAATGTTGTAAATTTTGTTTAGACTTTAAAATTTTAACTTTAGTTTGTTTTACAGTTAAGCATGAAAACATTGTTATTGAAAACCCAAGCAATAACAGTAAAATAATATTTTCATTTGGCTTTAAGTGAAATGAGTTACAGATAGAGAGTATCTAATGGGAGACAGCTGGGTGGACCAGGACAGGGTGCCTGGATGGACACTCTTTATTTTAACATGCTACTTTTTGTACATAGGGGAAGTTTTTATTATGATAGGTGTTTAGAGGTCAAAGAGTATGTGTATTTTAAATAAGTAAATATTGTGAGATTGCCCAAGTTAGCTATTTTAAGTGTTAGCTGATTAGTGTTAGTACATCTCGACTCCTAAGTATATCTGCATAGGAATAAAAGTGTGTTTTTTTGTTGTTGTTTAGGGGTGAGAGATAAGGACATTGTTGTGCGTCCTAGCTTGGCAATTGTTCCCACTAAATGAAAGTTTAGAATGGGAGCAGTTAATCCCTTTTAAAATACATGCTATGCTGCCTCTAGGATAATCCATCTTCCTCGCCTTTTATTTAGGAGACAGTTTGTTTTCTGTACCTGTGCATGGTTAGGACCTAAATGGCATAAAATCACTGGAGGAAAGCTAAATAAAGTTTTCAGAGTATGACATGCTTAATGGATGGTAATTATTATTCATTCTTGTACTTTTTTTGGCAGGCTTTTGTTTGTTTCCTACTTTAAATTTAGCCTTTCCTCATTTCTAAGGGCGTATGATTGCCATGAGGCAGTTTGATTAACCTACATACTGTTGTCCATCTTCCTTCTTAGTCCATTATATAAAAATGTCTCACAGTCTACAAAGCCTGCTTCCTGCTTCTTTAAATACAGAGCCTAGGCAAGTCGTTTACCTCCTGTGAGCTCCCTGTTTAAAGGTGAACTGCAATCCTTTAGCGTCGTATACAAGCACCTCTTGATATCCAAATCTATTCGATTCTGTAGTTCGGATAGCTAGCCTTCAGAAAGTAAGTTTGGGTATCAAGAGATATGCATTTTTTTTTATTTACTGTGTCTGGCTCTGAGTTTTGGGTAGCAAACAGAGTTTGGATATCAGGGAAATTTTAAAACGGAATCAAATTGATTCAGTTCCTGAGTTTTAAGATAGGAGAATTTGGATACTGAGAGTTTGGATAGCAAGGAACAATTGTATATGAATCTACTTTGTAGAAAAGCTCTACACAAAAGTACAATACTTTAGCTCAAAAGTTGAAAAGATCATTTTCCCCAACCTCCTGTTTGAACCTTTCTATAACAAACTGGTCCTCCCGATTATGCTTGGACACTGAAGGTGTTAAGAAGCTAACTGCCTTATGTGTCACTCACTGGCTTTGTGTTCTAAGTGCTAGAGGAAGTGCCGGGCAATAAATGGCAACCACAAAGAAAATGAGAATGGTTGCAAGTTTGTCTTACAAAATTTGGAAAACACTATAATTGGATGGATAAAAATGTAACTTCGTTCTAGAAGAGTGCTTTCGGTGGAGTATTAACAATGTTGTAATTAATATAATTTAATCCTGTCATCTCTAGTTGTCTCTTGCCTACCAAGGGCCAGTTAAAGCATAAGGACCTTGGAAGAGAACAAATTAGGTTATTTCTTTTCCTTCCTGAAAGCTGTTTGTTCCCCCTCCTGCTTTAAAGGTTTGTAGTACGTAACTCCGTAACTCGCTTCCCTGGGAGCCAGGACTTGGCCCATTTCCTATTGCCCATCCTTTGACTGGTTTCAGGTCATCCCCCTCTTCTTCAAGCCCCAGCCCTTTCCTGCTCATTTCCGCTTTTAGCCTCTTCCTGGGCCATCCTTTTCATGCATTCATCTTCTGCTTGGATTCTTTGACAGACGCATCATAGGATCGGACCTCTCTGGTGGGAATGGCTTACTGAATGAGGTTCCATATTCCGGGTTCCTCCTCTGTGTACTGCACACACAGCACAGACTCCGTGAGCTGATCCGTGTCACCCCTGAAATTCTGATATGCCTGTTTAATATCAGCCAGCCCTTCCTCAGAACCTTTGTATATTTTTTCCAAAGCTTGGCTACCCTCCTCTAATATGTCTCCCAGTCCTGGGCTTAGGTGAGCACAGCAGAGCCCTTGTCCACTGTTCCCCACTCATTGTACACTGCTCTCTAGTCTTTGTCACATGAAATGGAATAGAGACTTTCCTGAGGACCTGGAAGTGGCAAATGGTGTCCTCCTGGTCACCCTTGCCCACCCAATCAGGGTGTACCTGTTGAGATACCGTGTGGTAGTTGTGTTAGACAAGGTTCAAGGCCTCCTACCACCTGGCAAGGTTAAAGGCCTGCAAGGCTGCGCGTTTACTTACACAGATCTGGCACATCCATGCGGGGCAAGGGTCTAGAGTGAGCTACAGCTCAGTTGCAAACTTTTTAAGGGAAGCAGGGTTTGTTCATCTGTGGCACAGAATCTTGTGCATAGTAAGTACATAGTATTTAATAATTGATGATTATAATGCTCCTCTGAAAGTTAAGTTAGAGGTTGAGAAGGGAAGTAAAACCAAAATTTCATTCTTTTAAAAATAGTTTTTGCAATATTTTACAATAAATTTGTTTAGTCTTTTTGTTGAGCTGAAGAAGGGAACAAAATTATGAAGGTAGACTTTCACAACTTAAAGCTAGAACTTCCTTAGAGGTTAAATTTTAGCATGGCTTCTCCTTTGTATAGAAAAATACAAAGTTCTTATAACTTTGATTGTCTCTTGGTTAATTTGCCCATGAAAGCGGTATTATGTGTTAAGTCTATAGACTCATTTATAGACAATTTTATGTTTAACCATAATCCATTCTAATAACTGAGTTAAGTGTTTCCTTTTAATTAGAGGACCAAAGAGGAAAGAACAAGAAAGAAAGCATTCTATATTGATATCTAAGGGTCCCCCTCACCCCAGGTTTTCTTTAATTTTGATCTGGAGGGTCTTTGTTGAAGTGAATGTGTGTACCAGTTACTTAGTAACTTCCACAGATGACCACCTAAAAATCTTTGCCACTTCAGTTCTTACCATGAGATTTTTGAATGGTCTTACAGGTAAGCCTGTAAGCCTACTTTAAAAAGAATGGCATTAGCTGTTATAAGAATTCAGTTCTTTGGGAAGAATGACATGCATGTTTTTTCAGCTCTCTCCAATAATGCACCTAGTAGGAAGTCCTCACTATATATTGATTTCATGAGCTAATGAGAATAATTTCTTTTTAGGGTCCTGATGAAGAAGCTGTTGTGGATCTTGGCAAAACCAGCTCAACTGTAAACACCAAGTTTGAAAAAGAAGAACTAGAAAGTAAGTTTGTTTGTTTAAAATCACTTATGCTTAGCAGGATACATTACTAATTTGAATGTTAGCGTTCTTTTAACTTTTACCCGCTGTTTGTTTAAGTAGTTTTAGTTATTGTTGTGAGGTATAGTGTACATTTAGAAGGGTGTTCAACAGTTTTCTAAATATAAAGTTTAATACATCAAAACATCCATGTAACCATTATGTGTATCTGAAAATAGAACATTCTCTGATTATTTACTGTTTGTTGAAAGTATTGGCATAACATTGATTTCATAATGCTTATCAAACCACCAAGGGTTACTATTACTTGACAAATTGAAATGCCAAAGTTACAAAATCAGTTAATATTTTTATTTATTTATTTTTTAGTTTCTAGCAGTTTGGGTAATTTGTATTATGAACAAACTAGAGTGCTAGACTAATCAAAGCCACAGTTATTACCAGTTGTCATCTAACTGTTCATTTTATACGTCTGTTACATCTGCCTTTTAAAACGTTCTAAGAACCTCAGCAGAGAATTGTGGAGCAAATGAATTATTTGCCAGTCTTTCTTCCCTGAGCAGGAAGAAGTGTTTTTTAATTTTCTTTTGAAATGAATTTAGATTTACAGAAGAGTTGCAAAGATAGTACAGAGTGTCCCTATATACCTTCATCCAGCTTTTTCTAATGTTAACATTTTACATAACCATCATAAGTTGATGAAAACAAAGACATTACGTTGGTACAATACTGTTAACACATTTTATTCAGGTTTCACCCGTTTTTCCACTGATGTCCTTCATCTGTTCAAGGATCCAGCTGAGCAGTTTAGGATCCTATAGTACCTTTCGTGTCTCCTTAGTCTCAGCTAATCTGTAACAGTTTTCTGTCTTTCCGTGTTGTTCACGACCTTGACATTTTTGGAGAGGAGTGGTTAGATACTTTGTAGAATGTCTCTAAATTTGGGTTTGTCTAATGTTATCATATGAACAGACTGAGACTATGGATATTTGGGGAGCATACCACAGAAGTGACGGGCTCGTCTCAGTGTATCATGTCTGTGGACATGTGATACCTATGTGACTTGCTGGTGATAATTAACCCTGAACACTTGGTTAGGGTGGTATTTGGGACAGATGTTTTGATAGCCTTATTTTGGGGTCTTTTTGAGAACTACATTCTCATTACGTTAAAGTCTTCTGTGAAAACCGCTACCATCCATAAGGAACCTTAATCTGTTGCTTTTTAAAAGAAGATGGAAAGAGACTCCAATAAGTGTTCCCCACGTTTACTTTCTGAAATGGGGAAATAAGCCCCCGCCTTTTAAAATTGACTTTAAAAGTCCAGACTTACTAGGGCTTCTAGAAAGAACCTCAGTTACCTAGAAGGTTGTGGTTAGATTCTGGGAATTACAGGGACTAGGGAAGTTAAAATTTTTAGCAGTTATTTTATTCATTCAAATGTATGATGATACATTTAATCCATCACTTACCATTTAATGTCATTCCTCAAATACATGACCTAGAACCTAAGGAAAGGCACTTGACTATGTTCCTTGACTTTATTTGTTTCCCCCAGGGCCCTTTAACTTTGCATGCTTTGTACATGTCTAAATTTCAGTATCGAGTTTGAGGGAGAGATTAAGTTTGTCTCACAGTTCGAACAGGCCTTTGATGAAATAAAATAAAGGTGAAAGAACAAAGAAAGAAAAAATTATAATTGAGAACACTCAGGGAAATAATAAAAACAGAAAAAAAACCAGTAAGACTTCATCTCCCAATCTCTGAATTCTCGCATATTCTTACTGATTTTATCTAGTCTTTCTAAATTGCAAACTCATGAAATTTATTTTTGTCTTTGTGATTTGGGGCGTGTGTGCCAAAACCCATTAGTACTAATTGGAGTAACAACTTTGTAATTTCCAGTGCACAATGATGAGAATTTGACTCTTTAATTTCCACTTTTCTTTGGAGTTGAGAAGAAAATAGTTTTACTAAAATAAAATTGTAAGATCGTGAGTTTTGCTGTACTTGTTGTTTTTTTTTTTTAGTTATTGAGATAGCATTCACATAACACAAAAGTCATCATTTTAAAGTGTATATAATTCATTGTTTATTAGTATATTCACTGTTGTGTAGCCATCACAACTCTAATTCCAGAACTTTCCCATCATTCCAAAAAGAAATCCTATATAATTGGTTTTTAAATTTGAATTTTCTGGTAAAATATTTAAAGATAATTGATATTTCTACAGTTCTTTTTCTAGTGCTTAGCATGTACTAGCCAGAGTGTTGGGCACTGGGAGATGGTTAAACACTTTTCGTTCAATATGTTTCAATAGGCCTCGTCTCTTTTAAGTTAAAAGGTGATTGTTTACTTTATTGACATTAATATATTGGCAACTGAAACAAGAGATCAGAATGTCACCTTTTCCAGCCTTAGCTGGGAACATGTGCATCAGGCAACTCAAACTTTTTGCTGCTCTGTGCATGTTCGTAAATGACTGTGAAATCGCTGTGAGTTCGGGGTTACAAATAAGTTTTAGCGAGTTGGCAAACTTTCTCCACAAATAATGAGGATTGACTGTACTTTTAAATCTCATCTGAAGATGAAGATCTCGAGTTTCTTGAGGTATTTATTTTTGGACCATCTTACGGAGTTGTTAGGAGAGGAACATCATTAACAGCACATATCTTAACATAGTACTTTTTTATGTTCTGTATAAAGGCATACAAACAGCTCAATGGTTTTTGCCTAGTTGAAAATTGGTTAAACTTGTAGTCCATGACCCCTTTTACTCAGCACAGCTTAGATAGGAAAACTGTTAAAACTATTTAAGAAATCAATTTCATGCGCCTCAGTATTTTGACTTAGTGCTACTAGCTGTCTGCCTCCCTGATTCCGTTTCATTTAGTGGGCAAAAGCAGAGACTGCCTTTCATAACTGTTTTGTTGGTCAGACTACAAACTTAGGATAATGTAACATCAGTAGTAGCTTTTTTTGTTCTAAAAGTGTATGATAACTTTACTGTATTGCTTTGTTTCTCCCAATCTGATGTTTTCTACCCTTTAATTGGAGTATTTGAACCATTTATGTTTAATGCAGCTCTCAGTAATTTGGATCTTGATGAGCTGAGAGTTTTCAAATCTTAAAAAAATTAGTAAATATGTACAAATACCCATTTATGAATATTGATTGTAAAGTATTTAATCATCATTAAAGCATATCTCCCATGCAAAGGACCATTGCTAACTAGGGTTGGCCATAAGTATAGATAGAATAAATTTATGTCTACATGATTTTAAGAAGGCCAAACTCTGCTTTCCAAAAATATCTTTTTAGACTTGCAAACTAATGCTTACATAGGTAACCTGTATATCTGGTGTATTTATCAGTCAACGGTATTAGCCCTTGCTGTAACATTCTGTGTAAAAGAAGAGAAGTAATAGGAAACTAGTATTTTCAATTATGTGAACTTATATGTAATTCTTTTTTATCGAAGTAAATTTTGATATACTTTTGTATATATCCCTTTTTTTTCCCTTTTGGAAAACCAGTAATATGTTTCCGAATCTTTTGCTAGGTCATCGAGCTGTATATATTGGTGTTCATGTCCCGTTTAGTAAAGAGAGTCGTCGCCGTCACAAGCATCGTGGGCACAAGCATCACCACCGGAGAAGAAAAGATAAAGAATCAGATAAAGAAGATGGACGGGAATCTCCTTCTTATGGTAAAAGAAACAGTGTAATGTTCTTTCCTGGAAAGCTTTTTTTTTTTTTTTTAAATTGAATATTTCCTTTTTAAAATTGTATGTCTGCAATAATTTAGACACATTATATGCACTGAGGAATATTAATCGAAGTAAGACTATTTTTTCTATAAGAAAAATAGTGTATAGATTAAGATCTACTTGGATAAATAACAAGTAAGCGGCTTTGTTTTCATTCTATTCTAGCCTTGGAATTTTAAAAGTTGTGTCTTGGCACTTAAATTTCTATTTAGTAGGGTTTTATTTCCCTTTCTCTCATATATATATATATATATATATATATATATATATATATATATATATATGTATGTTTGTATGTATGTTTTTGTTTTTTTTTTAAGCTGAGCCATCCTGCTACCTGTTGGCTGCTCAGCTTGGGCTGGGAATCGAACCGCTGTTGCTCAGAGNATATATGTATGTATGTTTTTGTTTTTTTTTTAAGCTGAGCCATCCTGCTACCTGTTGGCTGCTCAGCTTGGGCTGGGAATCGAACCGCTGTTGCTCAGAGCTCAAACTCTCTACTATATATTTTATTATTTACATATTCAGTGAACAAATATTTGTAATCCTCAGGCTCCTGAAAGAGATTGAATATTTTATTTTACTTTTAAACTCATTTTTGCCAGGAGATGTTATCTATTAAGCCGGATTACTTGGTTATCTGTGTAAAAAAGAGTGCACTGCTTTGATAGTATGATTTACAAGACAGGATTTTTGTTTGAAAGGAGAGAAATATGGAAGTGCCAATAGACGAAGGAAATCAGAAAGAATCAAGTCGTATGAGTATAGTACAGGAGAGAGAATGTTATCTGATAAACACTGATAGTGCTGATTTCAGTGGCCCTGAGAAATGGGAAAGGGAAGAGCGAGAAAAAAGAGCTGCACAGCCTGAGGAGAACTCTCAGACACTGCACTTACTTGCCATATAGGGAGTCATTGGTTTTTTTTAGGACAACATGAGCCCACATGGCCAGTCCTTATACTGTGGGTCCTAGTGTGAGCATTCCAGCAAAGCTACATGAGCTGCGTCCCTGTAGGCACGTGTGTGATCTGCTAAAGGAAAGTTCTGTGAAGAGGTAAAGGGAAAAAGAATTACTGTGTATAACACAGCTACAGTATGAATATCAGAAAGAAAATACTGATGGCCCAGTAAAATATCAATTGCCAGTTTTGTGCTAAGCATTTCATGAGTCCTTGACATGTACTCTTTGATTTACTCTTCTGCATTTTTTTTTTTTAATATGAGTATTACTGTTTTCATTGTATAGATTGAGAAACTTCAGCTTAGGGAGGCTAAATGGTGGGAATCTCTTAACAGACTGTATTAAAAGATACTGATGGCCTGGCAAAATATTAAGTGGTCATATAGCTAACAAACGTCATGTAGCTAGCAAAGGAAAAACCAACACTAATTTTAGAAAGGATCAGTAGTAAACTTTGATGATATTAAGTAATTCTGAAGTGTTTTGCTGTTCCTACACTTGTATCCATCCAGTGTAGGATATCTTAGGCGATTCTGAATGGATCAGTGTGTGTCTGTAATTCATATTGAATAAAATGGCACACAATACTTTTATAGAAATGCTATTTAGTTAATTGTAATTCAGTATGTTTATATGTTTACCTGGGTAGTTGGTTTGTTGTTTCAAGCTAAGGTATGATATTTGAAGCCTAAATATAGTGGTTTGAAAATAAATTTGGCAGAGGAAATATTTGTGACTTTTTAATGGAATAGCTATTCCTAGAATAGTTTTATGTCACTGAAGTTGGTTTATTTTGGTTTTAACCGCCAGTATATATCCTAGAAATTATTATGAATGAAGTCCCTTTTTTCTTTCCTTCACTCCCTAAAGAGAGATTAGAGAGGACTTTTGCTTCTGGATGTGAAAGAATAACAGGAATAGAATTTGCCCTCCCATTTTAAAGAGAAAAATGGACAAAATATATGAAGCACTAATTTTCAGACATTGGACAACACAGACAGCACAGGCCTCTGACTTCTGAGAGCAGGAAAGCAAGTTAGATGAGCTCTGTGATTGCCTGATCTTATTGCCTAGAGATAGTTTCCAGGACACAGCACAGGGAAGGGAATCTGAACAGAGCCTAGCAGGCTCTTCGAGTTGAGCAGACAGAGATTGGAATTTGTGGAGGCCAAAGAGGCTAGAATTTGAGATGCAGAATGCCAGAAAGTAGAGAGCTACACATGGAGAGGGTTCCAAAGGTCTGAAAGAGGGTTCTTTTGAATCTTTGGCTATTTACTGGTCTGGGCCAAAGGAAACTGTGTGAAGCCTGGGAAATAACCACCAGGAAGCACTAGGCAAAACAGTTCCTGGATTTCACACAAGACTGGGAATTGAGTGCATTCCCGTCAGTCAGAGTGGAAAAACCTTGTGACATACAGTGCCTTGGGTAGAATTCATAAAAGGATATTGCCTTAGCAGTGGGTCTTAATTAGTTTTACACTAAAGACTACAGTGGATCTGCTCTAAAAATTCTTAAAAACAGGTGTTGAAAGAATTAAACTGATTTCAAGTATCTGCATGCCAGAACAAGGTATTAACACTGCTAAAAGAAATGCAGTAAAACCCAACACCTAACTCTGTAAAATTCACAATATCTGACATCCACAAATTATTTAAAATATAAACAAGTGAGAATATGAGTCATAACCAAGAGAAAAATAAATCAATAGAAACAGATCCAGAAATGACAGTTTGATGGGATTAGAAAACAAGCATGTTAAAGAAACTATAATAAATAGGTTTTATGTGCTCAAGAGGATAGAGAAAAATATGACTGTGATGAAAAAAGAAATTGAAATATAAGAAAACCCCAGATGGAACTTCTAGAGATTAACAATACAATATCTGAAATGAAACATACACTAGATAAGATTAAGAGAAGATTTGACACTGCAGAAAAATTAATTATTTTGAAGACATAGTGATAGAAACTATCCAAAATGAAAGAGAGGGAAATATCGATTGAAAATGAATAAACAGTATCAGTAATTTGTAGGACAGTTTCAGATAATCTAACATATGTATAATTGGAGTGCTAGAAAGGAGGTGGCAGAAAAAGTTGCAGCTAAATATGCAGCTAAAGCAGTGCTTCAAGGAAAATTTATAGCTTTTAATCCTTATATTAGAAAAAAGAGATCTCAAATCAATGATTTCAGCTTCTTATTCAAGAAACTGAGGGGAAAAATAGAGCAGATTAGACCAATGTAAGGAAAAGGAAGGAAACAAAACCAAAGCAGAAATGAATAAAATAAAAATTAGAAAAATAGCAAAAATCAATCAAACTAAAATCTGGCTGTTTGAAAATATTAATAAAATTTATAAATCTATAGCCAGATTCATCAGGAAAAACAAAAAAGATACAAATTACCAGTATTGGAAATTTTTAGTACAGATCCTACATCCATTAAAAGACTAATGAGGGAATATTATGTTTGATTTTATGCCAGGAAAATTGATAATTCAGATGAAATGGGGAAGTTCTTTAAGAGTAAAAGCTACTAAATAGAAATGGATAACCTGAATTACCCAAATGTATAAAGAAATTGAATTTGTAGTCTAAAACATTTCCACATGAAAATTTACTCCCAAATGGCATTATGGATTAATTCAATCAAACATGTAAGGAAGAAATTACGTAGACTTTACCAGGAAATTGAAGATGAGGCGATACTTCCTAGTTCATTTTATGAATCCAGTATTACCCTGATATCAAAACTAGATAAAGATGTTATAAGAGAATCAAACTACATTCTATGTATTTCTCATGAATGTAGATTCAGAAATCCTTAACAAAATAAAAACATATCTTACTCAGCAATATTTAAAAACGATACTATATCATGACCATGGTAGGCTGAATAATGGCCCCCAAGATGTCCGTATTCCTAATACCCAGAACCTGTGACTGTTAATAGTATATGGCAAACTCGAATTTACAGATGCATTTAAGTTAAGGATTTTGAGATGGGGATATTATACTGGCCTGTTCAGGTGGGCCAGATTTAATCACAGGGGCCTTTAGTAAGAGGGAGTCAGAAAATCAGAGAGGAATTATTGTAGATGTGACAACAGAAGCAAGTGGTTATAGTGATCCAGACCTAAAGAATGTAGGCAGCTTCCAGAAGCTAGAAAAGACAAAGAAATGGATTTTCCCGTAGAGCCTCAGAAGGAACCAGCCCCATGATTTTAGTCCTGTGATGTATTTTGAACTTCTGGTCTCCAGAACTATGAGAGAATAAATTCATGTTATTTAAGCCATGAACTTTGTGGTGTTTTGTTATAGCAGCAATAGGAAATTAATACAGTAACCAAGTGGAAATTCAGGGTTGTTGTATAACTTAAGCATCTATCAATGTAAACAAGCACATTAACAATATAAAGGAGAAAAAACATATCTCAATAGGTGCAGAAAATGCCTTTGATGAAATTCTACCCCCATTCATAATAAAACTGCCAACTAACTAGGAATAGAGCATCTACAATAAACCTGTAGTCAACATCACACTTAGTGATAAAAGACTGAATACTTTCTCCTTATGATTTGGAAAAAGGCAGGAATGTCCTGTCTAGCCACTTCCATACAACATGGCTCTGTAATAAGGCAAGAAAGAAATTAAAGGCATACAGATAGCACAGGGAGAAGTAAAATTGTCTTTATTCACAGATATAGGATCAAGAATGTAGGAAACTTAAAGCAATCTATAAAACTGCAGAACTGAATGAGTTTCTCAAGGTTGCAGGATACAAAATCAATTATATTTCTATATATTTCTATATAGTAGCAACAAACAATCAGAAATTGAAATAAAAAATACCACTTACAGGAGCACCAAAAATATTACTTAAGTATAAGACCTAAACATTGAAAGGTTTAAAACATTAAGAAGTTCAATCACAGTATATTTTTGTTTGTCCTGCATAGGTCTCAGGGTATTCCTTCAATATGCAGCCCGATGTCATTTACATACTGGAAAATTCTGATATGTTTTCTATTGTCTTTCCCCCTCTTCTTTATATTTCCCTCCTTCTGGAGTTTTTCTGGTTTGACTTTCTTATTCTGCTGTCTGCATCTCTTTGGTTTTTTCATCGTATCTGTCATGGATACATTCTGCCTAATTTCATCAAATCTGTCTTTTCCCTTAATGATTCCTTCTAATTTGCTCTTTAACCTGTTCTCATATCCCTGCTTGTTGCATTGCAAGTGCATGGAGGTTTGTTCACTTAACTGTAAATTTTGAGCATGACCTCATCTCTCATGTTCAGCAGAATTTGAATTTGTGTTTAATTGATGCTTGTGTGTTCATACTGAGGCCCTAGGGCTTTCAACTGTCCTGGACTAGAATCTATGTTAATTTCTGTCTTTGGGAATCCTGTACCAAATAGGTAGTTTAAATTTAGATGCTGTGAGTGCAGTATCTGTTTCTTACAGTGCCTGCCCTACCTCCCTTACGTCAGCTGACACAGTTTTACTTTTCCATGATAGTAGGAAAGGTCAGTTTCTATATACCCCTAACTTAGAGTTTTCTCACATTTTTTGGAACTGGGGATTTTCTAGTTTCAGTCTTGAATTTAGCTACATATTAACTACATTTTATTTAATGTCCTATTTTATCTAACATTTCCACATATTTTTAGTGAGGAGTCTTTGAACATAGTGTTGCATGCTTATGGATGTTGCTTATTTTTATTTGTTTGTTTTTACATCAATTAGTTATAAGATTAGTCTTGTTTACTTTTAACATAATTTTTTTGTCTGCTACTTTCTGTGATACTCTTTTTTTCTGGATTGTTGATCCTTGTTTCTTTCCAGAATTATAGCATTTTAATAATAAAAGTAGTAACAGCTAGTTATCTTCGTTAAATATAATTGTTGATAAGAAAAAAAAATAGAAAAGAGTTTTGAGGGAACATGTTTCTAACAAAAGGATTTCACTTTCAAACCTGTGAATTTATCTTTGAAAGAATTGAGGAAAATTTTGAGTGTATTTAAATTCTTATTTTGTCAAGACACACCGTCCCAGAGAGTTCAGTTCATCCTCGGTACTGAAGATGATGATGAGGAGCACATCCCCCATGATCTCTTCACGGAAATGGATGAACTATGTTATAGAGATGGGGAAGAGTACGAATGGAAAGAAACTGCCAGGTAATACATACTCAGTCTCAGTGTTTAGTTGGCTTTAACATGATTTCTTTTTGTAATGAGAATATAAAATCGAAATGATGAGATATCCAGTGCTTAAAACAATGAGCAGAGAATTTCCTTGTGTCTGTACATTATGTCTTTAGTCCTTCTCTTTATTTTCAAAGTTTGTTTCCTTAAATAATCCTTAAATCTTTACCATAAGGAATTATCTTACCATAGATTTTAAAGTCCTTAATTAGAGAAACAAATTTGAAAAACCAAAATCTTTCATATTTTAAGTTAAAAAGAGGATTAGAAGTGGAAACTATGAAGTGCCATAGTTTAGTTTTGTAGACTCAGTATTGTGATAGCTAGAATAGAAAGTAACTACAAAGATAACTTGTGACTGTAGATATGGTAGACCATTAGCCTAATTTGTAAAAATGTGTTTGTTGCCAGATTAGGTTTTACTGTTGCTTATCGTTGTTTCTCTTCAAAAGAACAAGTTTATGTGTATCATGTTAAAATAAGCAAATGAAATTGTCATTCTTTATAAAACAACTTTACATTTTATACATTTTAGATGGCTGAAATTTGAAGAGGATGTTGAAGACGGCGGTGACCGATGGAGTAAACCTTATGTGGCAACTCTGTCTTTGCACAGTCTTTTTGAGCTAAGAAGTTGCATCCTAAATGGAACAGTCATGCTGGATATGAGAGCAAGCACTCTAGATGAAATAGCAGGTTATAGCAAATTGACATTTTTATATTTAAGTTGTTCTGAAATTAGAGATATTTAAATAGGGCAATAAAGTGGAATTTTAGGCCATTGATTTAACAACTCTAAGTTGAGCTTCCATTTTATGCTGGGCAGTATGAGGAACAGACATATAAATAACACTCTTTACCTCTGATAAGTTAGTGAGTTTAGATGATTAATTTAGACAGACATAACTACAGTATCAAGAAGAAAATGACTAGTACCATGAGCCAGATAAGGTGTCTGTTCTCCGGAAATGCAGAGGAAAGAGCATTTTGTTTCTTTATCTTCTGGACCAAGGTATCTGGGGAAGATCTACAGAGTACGTTAACTGTACGATTTATTCATAGAAGTCGAACACATGGGAACAAGGAGCAGGTGTACAAGAGAAAAGAAAGTATTCTAAGGAGGAAGACAAGAAAGAAAAGTCTAGCAAGTATAGATAGGTATGAATCTCAGGAAATCCAGATCTGTGTAAGCATACAGATTTCTTGAATAGTAATAGGAGACATGTTTGGAAAATAAATTGGAGATGGATTGTGACTAGGCTTGAATTATGGGATTAGGAAATTGGAATTTAGTTGGTAGGCATTTTGGCTCTTGGTGCCTTTTAAGTTGGAGAGTAGGGTGATCTAAGGTGTGTCAGGAATCTTCCTGGCAAGAATATATAGGGTGACTGGATAGGAAGAGGCTGGAAGCAAGTTAAGCCAGTTATTCTCTTGGAATAGTCTAAGCAAGAAATGATGATGACCTGAACTGTCGTAGATAGTTGCAATGCAAATGGAGGAGAGAGAAACTTAAAGGATACTGTGAGTTAGAAAGTGAAAAAAGAGCTATGATAATGCTATCTGATCATTAGCTAAAATAGCTCAAAACCAATATCAAGTTCAATGGTAATGAATTTAATAGTGTGACTACCTTTGTAGATTGCTCCCATGGAAAAACAAAAATCTAATGTATTTGATCTTCAAGGGAACCATAAATTATTAGAATTTTTCAGGCTAGAAATACTTTGATATTATTAGACTGTTAGATTTGACGACATGCTGCAAATCTTTAAATTGTCAAAGTCCTTACTTGTCTTTTATGAATGACTTAAAGTTGAGTTAGGATTAGGAATATTGAATTTGGACATGTGGGTACTTTGGCTTTGCAATTATCACATAAAACAATGTAATATTTTAGTAAATGTTGTATAACCCATCATTCACTTATATGGTAGCCTGTAGTCATTGTGTTAATGTTATTGTTAATCTGCCAGCTTGAGCCCTTCCAGTTTTCTTTTGAGTAATCTTATAAATTTGGAAACTTGACTGTTATCTCAAGTTAGTGACACTATTTAAAAATATTTATAAATACTCTATAAATCAAAAATATTCCAGTCACCACAATAATGTATAAATGACACTGCCATCTATCTCCCTATTCCTTACACGCCTCCCTCCCTTTACAGCATGATACATCCATCTTCTTGGAACTTACTACTTCATGATATTTTATCTATTTGCTCATTGGTTGTTCTACCTCTGGAAGAGTGAGAGCAAAAACTATCTGCTTAGTTAACTGCTGAATTCCCAACACATAATCGATACTCAGTAAATAGTTAATGATTAAATGAATGAGCCCAGATATTCAGCAACAGTTTTTGGGGAAAGTATGAAGTGAAGCAAGAAAAAATCCTATACTCCTTAGGAAACCAATATTATTGAATATTCAGTTTAATAGAACTCCTTATATCCATATCAGGAAAGCACTTTCACTATAGGGAGGCTATTAGTGTATAACAGTAGCCTCTTTATAAATAACAGTACTTATAAAATAAGAGCATCTGTGTAATTTGTTCATTTTGTTGGATAATATTCATACTTATGCATGTATTATTCAGTACTTTCTAGAGCTTTTTAAGGATCTTATTTTTTTAGTAGGGTTTCACTTACAGTTTATTCTATGTTGTAGTCATCCAAGTGTTATTGAATAAAAGCAACTTTTTTCCTCTTGACTAGATATGGTATTGGACAACATGATAGCCTCTGGCCAATTGGATGAGTCCATTAGAGAGAATGTCAGAGAAGCACTTCTGAAGAGACATCATCATCAGAATGAGAAAAGATTCACCAGTCGGATTCCCCTTGTTCGATCTTTTGCAGATATAGGCAAGAAACATTCTGACCCTCACTTGCTTGAAAGGAATGGTGAGATAAGTTGTGGCATCCAAATTTTGCTAACATTTCTACTCTAACAGCATTGTACTATATTACAGTTATCATTTGGGGAAAGAAAGATATTTTTTCCAGATAGTTATGTAAGTCATTTAATCTTTTTAATTCTTTAAAAAAAATAATAGTGTTCTTTGTATATTTAAAAAAATCTAAAATGTCTTTCTTTACAACATGGCAGAATTATGTGTAGAAGTCATTTAAATGAAAGGCTTAAGCATTCACTCTGTTGAAATGGCACACTTAAGTATTGGTAATATTTAAACACTGTTAATATCCCTAACCATGAGTTACTTCTCCTTCCTGTTTTTTTTTTGTTTCTGTTCAAGAATTCTTGTATAATTAAAGAGGCATAATTATGATCTATAAATTTAGTTTAATTTTTTGAATTCTAAATCTTGGGTTTGAACCTTTATTGTCTATATTAGATTGTTCCCAGTGATTTATTTTATTAGTTTGGCCTCCTGAATATATTTTATTTACTGAGCCACAAGTGTTTTGGGGTTGGTTTGCTGATATCACTCCCCTTTATTTATACAATTTGTGAAGGTTTTTATGACTATTCTTATCTTATGCTAGAAACTACCTAGTTGATGTTTTCCAAGCCATTGAGAAGGGCGCAGACCTACGTATTTTAGCTCTCCACCCTCACTCTCCGTCTAGCAGTGGGAGTTATGTGTTTTGGTAGCTGTTTACCTCTGTCACTGTCTTATGTCTGGGGCACTTGGAGGTCTTGCCTTTCCTATTTCTAGAGCAAAGGATTACATCACTGGGGTTCTATTTTGGCTCTCAAAAAAGAGCTTTGATGTCAGTGACTCTGGAAAACCCCAGGTTCAAAGAATTAGAGTTGATAATGAGGGTCACTGTTGCCTCTATCTGCTACCATTACCCCAGGCTTGTGAGGATTACACTGAAGAGGAGTGTCTTCCTGCTCACCTTTTCTGTTCCTGAAATAATAGTATGGCTCTTAAGTGTTCTATAAGCAAACAGCCATAGGTGATAGGGTTTGAAAATCTAAAGTTGACAGTAATCATCTTTTGCAGCTCAGTGTAAAATACTTGAGTCCATTTTCTTCTGAACATATGACCACTAAAAGTCTTTTTAATGTATTTAAAATTATGCTTTTGTATATTTAAGGAAGCTTAAGTAGAAAAGAAATCTCTTATGGTCATAAGTTCAATTTAAAAGCATGCCGCCTAAGTCACATTTTACCTCTCCTTTTCATCTTTCATGTATTGTATAGTCTCTACTTTAGTGAAATGAATTCATTCACCCAGAGACACTGTTAAGTCTCTATTTCTCGTGGGCTGTGGTTCCTGATTATTCTCCAATTGTAATTTTGTTCCTTTTAATCGTAAGACAAGGGCTATTTTCTTTTAAATACCATTTTAGCATGGGAATTGTTATTTGTATTATAGTTATAATTTAACAGCTTTCCTGCATGTAGCTTATTTTTTAACTAAATGGTGGTTGCTTATGGATTGAAGGTTAATCTTTATTTTTAATATCTCTCGAGCATGTAGTTTTGATTACGTCGACTTAGATTATATGGGATTGTTATATTTCTCATTTTCCTAAAAGACAATGTCATTCCATTAAGCCACACTTCATAGACTAGGTGTTTGAAATGTAAGTATAATTTACCCTTTGGAATATGCTAGACTTACTTCGTTATTCCTGTTGCTGGTGAGAAATACTTTATTCTTATCTAGTTAAAGATTGTATGCATTTGTTTAAATTTATGTGCTGTATTACAATGGAAGCATAATTTAGGACATTTATTAATAGCTTTAGAGAGCTCAAGAATATGTATCCTTTAAAGTTTACATTATATTTCTCTTTTTAAAAAATTTCTGACTTGTCTTATGTTTTTAAATATTACTTGGGGGCAGTACCAATAGGTGATGCCCTATTGACTTAATGTTATAAAGATTTTATATCAATTTTAAGTTAGGAATTACTAGATAATGTTAATGTGAACTTTTCTTGTTAGAGATAATTATCTGTAGTGGTTTGGCACAGTGTAGGAAATATATATTAAATATAAGCTGTCAGTGCTGATAAGTTTTGTTTTGGGTTCCATTTCTTAGCTGATTTTTGTATTATATTCTCATTTGCTATTTATCATTTATTTAAGCAACAACACTGCTTTGATTTTTTTTTTTAAGCCACACTATTGGACATTCTAATTACTAACAGAATATTGTCCCCCACCATTTATCCTTAACATTGTTTTTTATATTTTTGTTTATTTTATTTATTTTTTCATACACCTTCAGGGAACTAAATATAGCTCAAGCAACTTTTCAGTGACTTTCTAACATTTAAAAATTTGATTGCCATGCTGATCCTGATAGCATGAATTTGAAATTTTGGGCCTTCACAGCTTGCCAGTTACAGTGTAAATTGATTTTTTGTGTTTCTATTTGCCGTCTGCTGTGAACTTCATCATTTTTCATTTGTTTTATCTCAGGGGAAGGCCTTTCAGCCTCCCGCCATTCTTTGCGAACAGGTCTGTCTGCCTCCAACCTTTCATTGAGAGGAGAATCACCTTTATCTCTTCTTCTCAGTCATCTTCTTCCTTCTTCAAGAGCTGGAACCCCTGCAGGCTCGAGGTGTACAACCCCTGTACCCACCCCTCAAAACAGTCCTCCTTCCAGCCCTAGCATCAGTCGCCTGACCTCCAGAACTTCCCAGCAGAGTCAGCTTCAGGCCCCAGCACTGCTGGTTTCTCCTGCCAGTGATGATATTCCCACAGTAGTAATTCATCCGCCTGAGGAAGACTTAGAAGCGCTGGAAGGCCAGGAGCAGAAGAATGAGGAAAATGTTGACATAACTCCAGGCAACTATTCGCAACCCTCCATGTGTGGCGCTTTCTGCCTCTGGATCACTTGCACTTGGAATGCCTTGTAGCACATAGCTTTAGCAGCATTTGCAGATAATGCTTGTAATTTATTTTGACTTCTGCATGTTTTTTTCCCTCTGTATTATAGAAAAGAATAGAATTATTAAAAATTTTAAGTTCCAAAGAGACTACAAAAATGAATACACATAATTTAAAATTTTCAGTCAGATTTTACAGGTCAGGTCATTTGAATGGTTGAGTTGAAAACAGACGTTTTTATAAGTAACCTTTTAATTTGCCATGATTAAAAAAAATGGTGGCTTTTATTGTGCATTTCATTCATAAGGTGAATGAATACATGGCAAATTGTACATAAATTATAAGGAGGTGATGTGCTTTTTATCTATTGTTTGGTGCTTTTGTCCAAAGAATGCAGGATGTTTTGACCTTCCTAACAATAATGGGACCGAATGTTCTTTTTCTCATTCTGTCTCTGAGAAAATTGATGATCTCCAATGACTATCTGGAATCATCATTATTTCAAGACTCGTATTATATTTTGGAATAGATTTTACTTGTTCTTTATTAAATGCCATATCTACCTTTAATCCAAATTCACCTTAACATTTTCAGGACCAGAGTTCCTATAGCTGTGGCTAGGATATATTTTTGTATGTGAATTAGAAAACTTATTTCTTAGTGGATAAGTGTTTTATAACTAAGGGTTTTATATTATGAAAATTTTTGGTTCTTTTACTTTAATTATATGTACGTTTGTACATGTATTTTGTATAAAGAAATCTTCTTTAGTGACCGTTTTACTGATGGCCACACATCAATGTAACATATAAATGCTAACTAGTGATTTTAATCACATAAGTATTATCACATTTCACTATAATACTGATAATATCTAACACTTCAGTGGTAGCTTATAGTTATTAAATTAGCCTATTTAATTGGTATAAACATTGGTGTAAGTTAGGTGGATATTCTCATTTTCAGAAACTCAGATTCAGAAAAGTTAAATAACTTCCCCCTGGATCAAAGAGTAAGTGGCAGCCTAAGCCCTCTGACTAAAAACATCCTTGTGGTCCCTACCACTGTATGACAAGCCTCTCTCTCTATTGGATATATCCAAACATACCAGAAACATTTTTAAAAAGCTAATTGTACTTGCCAAAAAAATGATATGCTTTTAGAAGTAAAAAATGGAAGTTTTGTGCTTAAATCATTGAAATATTATGATTGTAGTTATAGCTATTATTGTTTTACAGTTTGTTTCACACACAGTGATATGTTCTTTTCAGGTATCATATTTCTAATTCTTCTAACAATTTGATGAGGTTTGTGGTATTATCCCTGTTTTACAAATGAAGAAAATTAAGACATAGAGTTATTAAGATCAAACTGTAAATAACCAGAGCAAAGAATTGAACTCAGAAGTACCTGTAACAAAATTGATAGTATAGTATTTCATTGTAAATTTTACTACTTTGTGAAAAAGACATAATAATGACGTAACTGAACTAAAGTGAGAAAAAATAAACCTAGAAATAATTATTAAAAAATAAGCACTCTTAATTAGAAATAACCAACAAGATTTACTATTTTCCTTGAACAAGAATAATTTTAAAGGTACTTCCTTGAATTTATTTTTACCTTAACCTACCAGTAACACTGTATATTTTTTGTTTTACCAGATATAGAATTATTAATAATAAGGGATTACAAATTTTATATAGGAAGGAAGGGACATATGGGTTACAGTGACTTGTGAGGCCATGTTAAGGGACAAAAGGAGCAATTTAACTGAGACTTGAACATAGTTTTTTCCTCTGCTGGAAGTATGCCTTGAGATTTATCAACATTTCTAAAGAATTAGAAGTTAGAATGGAAGGAAGAGAGGGAGTTTCTAAAGACAGAAAAAGCTCATAATTACTGTTTAAAAAGACATCTGTTGAAGTTATGTAATTAAAATAATAAGGGTGGCTATATACTATTACTCCCTTTTGAATTACCTTTGGTGCTCACAGCACCTACTAGGGACTCTAGTTGAGCTTCCTTGAAGTCTGATGTTACATTAGAGAAGGAAGGTGGCCTCAGCATAATTTTGGAGAGACCAGTGCCATAGATTTTTGTGTCATGGGGTTATGATTTGTGCATACCCGTAGTAAAAAAAGAAAGTGGTGTTTCCCATAGTTATTTTTTTGAGAATCATTATGTGTCACAGAGGTAAACTCATTTCTAGTATTTGCGGCTGTGTTTTAACTCAATGCTTCTCAGCCTTGGCACTGTTGACATTTGGGGCTGGACCCTTCCTTGTTGCAAGGGGCTGTCCTGTGCACTGTAGGATGTTTGGCAGCATCCCTGGCCTGTTTTCACTCACTGCCAGTATGGCGTTCCCCAGTCGTGACAACCGAAAATGTCTCTAGACATTGCCAAGCATCTCTTTGGGGACAAAAATCTTCCCAGTTTGCTAACCATTGCTCCAACTGCTTCTACATTCAAACGTTTCATGACAGCAAACTCTCTCATATCTTTGATTTATCTTTCTCTAGTGAGATTTGCTACTTTGAGAAAAATATATAAGGGCAAAATAATAAATTCACCAGAGTATGATTTTTAAATCTCAGTATTGATTTTATATATGCAAATATTCAACACTTAGTTTTTTTCTTTTTTCTTTTTTTTTTTTTAACCAATCTCTTCTATTTATTTCAGGACATAATATGCTTGTTAGACCCATGGATAGTACTGAGTTATAACCCTGTTTAAATACCCTTAGGGTGTTTTATTTTTGCAAAGGTAGGTTCTAACAATCGTGAAACCAGATAGATTAATAATACGCATATCAAAATTAGATTAAAAATTTAGTCATGGCTCTCATTCACTCTGTCCTGGCATTAAAGATGTTATAAAGATACATAGAATACCAGCAAGCATCCCACCATTTTCAGAAATAGGTGTTGTTAAAAAGGAGTTTCTCTGATTTTAGCAAAGAAAAACCATCCCAATTTTATACTACTGACAGGAATTTAACTTCGGTACATGGTATTACTATTTCTCCTCCTATAGCAAGTTCTAGTTTTCCCAAGGCCTTTCCCCCAACTTTTCTGGAAGTAAAATACCGTGTTTCCCCATGTATAAGATGCACCATTTTCCGAAAAATTTGGGGACTAAAAACTGGGTGTGTCTTATACAGTGGTTGTATGAACACAAAAACAAGCGTGACAAAAAGTGGGAAATGCAAGTAAAAAAAACCACCTACAAGCACTGTATAAAACACACCCAGTTTTTAGACCCCAAATTTTTCGAAAAAGGGTGCATCTTATACATGGGGAAATGCGGTATGTTATTTTCAACCTTCAAATTAAAATGTTATCCTCATAAATATATGTAACAAGTTGTTGTATTCACATATATCCTTTCCAATTTCAGGCTAAGCAAAGACATGCATTTAGAGCTATAGTAACATTATTAAAGCAAAAGACAATCCAACTTCATGTCAAGAGAAAATGTGACCTTCCATGCAGTGTTTGATATAGAAAATATGATTTTGACACATTTTATTCAAATACCAGTCTGATCACACGTGGTCCAAGAACGTTCAAAAAATAAACCCAAAAGAAACAGATGTTAATGATTGGGCTTCAGACATTATAGCCAGTGATGCCACACTTGCCTATGATCTCGTCAACATAAAACCACATCCACACCTCAATGGCCACCAAACCATTTAGTAGAGCTTCCTTAACTGTGAGCTGTTTGAAGCTACAAGCTTGACTGTTGACTATTTTTTTCAAGCTCTGAATAGCTGCAGGGATCTCAGCAGGGGTTGGAGGAACCAGCTCAACCTTGACAGAGTGCCAAAATGTGGCCAGTCGAGGCTTCCCATAAGTCACAGCAGTGTTTACCGGCATCAGGGCCTTCTCGGTGATGTTACATGCAAACTGGGCCATGGTTCTAGGATGGAAAACCCATGGCCTCAAAGAGCTGGCTGAATGTCACCCTCTGGAAGCTATTTTTTTCTTAAAGAAATAAAGACCTTCTGAGTTATCTGTGCCAATGATAGTTTTAATTTTGGGCAATTTACTCATTTCATTCAACTAGGAATGTATTGTAGGAGCAGGGAGACTTCCTTTACTGATTGAGAAAACAGCTTTAGCTTAGCTGAGATTGGGAAGGACTGTGTAGAGAATATAACAGTGGAAAACATGTACTTGGCATGCCAGTTTTAACAGGTACAAGATGACTAGGTTAGCTAAATGACTTCAGGTCATATCTTCTTCCTTTGTCAGTATTGAGTTCCCCATCATTTCTTCTTACCATTCCTTCTGTCTCCCTGCTTCTCATAGCTTTCTCATCGTTCCACTCTTCCCAAAGTCTGTTGGCTGGGACTATTTTGAGAAACTATGCATATGTATTCTTTTGATTCCACATCTACAGATTGAATATTTTAGTAGTCACAAGTGTATCTACCGGTGCTCCGGTGCGCTTGCTGCCAGGACCTTAATGATGTTCTTCATTTTCTTGTGTGGGAACTTGAACATGTATTTTAATAAAATAATGAACTCTATTCTGGAAGCTTAGGGACAAAGGTCAAAGAAGAGGAATCTTAACTTTTCTGTGCTAAGCTAAAATGGTGAAGAATGAGTTAGGAGATATTTTATTTCAGAATTATCTAACACAGAGAATGAGCACATGGCTTAATAGATTGCATATGCTCTTTATACTGAGATTTTTGAGTCACAGTGACATCCTAGCTTAGGTATTTAACAGAGAAGTGGATATCACAAATGGATGTCATTGAGTTTAAGCAATAAACTCACGTGACTTCATTCCAATGATTAGTTATAGTATGTTGTATTCTAGGAAAATGGAAACTTCCTTAGATGTATCAAATATACTTGATGTGCTTAAAATTCTGGAATTTAATTACCAATATTAACCTTATAGGATGTCGCCACAAACAGTTTGAGTTTGTATAGGTCACTAGATTGACATGAGTGGTAGAGTTAAAGCTAAAGTTAAGTCTGTTGTAATTTAGTTTAGTGCCTTCTCTCCGGTGATACTCAGTGTTTTGGGTAATACTAATCCATATTTTTGAACTACAATTTTGGGTGTTTTGAAAAAATGCAATATATTCAATGGTAGAAATCTGTGAGGTACTTTAAAAATTTTAAGATTTGAATTTTTTGCAGAATTCATGGTGGTAACATTGGTCATATGCTACGGGGTGATTTTAGGTTATAGTATATGACTTGTGAAATGTTGCCGAATGTCACTTGAAATGAGTATACGAATGCTAGGACCCGTATCTATCATTTGTTATCCAAACAAACTAATTTCATAGAACATATATCTATCATTTCTAATCCAAACAAACTCATCTTACAGGTTTTTCTGGATCGTAGAGGTTGAATGAGTTACTTAAAGTTACATAGGTACAAAGTGGCAGAGAGTGCTCATTTCAGCACAGATCTGTTTAATTATATAACCCTTACTCTTTGTATTTATATTGTGAAACCATTGCTATTATAAGGTTGTATTTCTTAGGAATAATGACAGTAGGCAGCCCATAAATACTAACTACTTAACAGAAATGGAAATTCTTGAGGAAACTGTTATGGTCATGGAAGGTTAGGGTACATTTAACCTGCATTTAGTTAATGTAGCTGTTTATAATTTTCTGAGTTACACTAAGGGTTTATCAGAACATTTATGTTGCTACTGAGGTAAGCATGCTAACTGTGGTTAGGCATCATTAACATCTGCAATTCACATGTATGTTAGGTACATTGAAAGTGTAATCCCTAAGTATTCGTAGTGGTAATCAGACTCTGGGGTTTTCCATCTTCCATGGTTCCACACCTGCTCACTTTTTTTCTTTTTGCAAAGGCCACCATTTTTGTAAATTCCTATTACATTATTTAAAATTTTTAAATGTATTGCTTTATTATTGCTTAAAATGTTATCCTAGTCTTGCTGGTATGGTACTAACACTTAGCACTTTTTTTTTTTTTTTTAACCTTGCACATCTGCTTTTCATAAACTATCACTTTCAGGATATGAGGAGAGTCGGGTTACAAAGTGATTTTTCTCCTTATTAATTTGGAATTTGTTTATTTTTAAATGCAGGTGTCTTAGCCTCTCCACAGTCTGCACCTGGAAACTTGGACACTGGTAAAAGTGGAGAGACCAAAGGTAATGGAAGTGGAGGCAGCAGAGAAAATAGTACTGTAGACTTCAGCAAGGTAATTCTGTCATGAACTATACATTTTCACAATCATTCTTACTGAGAAAATCACTAGCAATTGTGCCTTTATTAACATGGATTATAGTAATTTTTTAATAGACTGGTGCTTACAAACCTGCATGTGATGCTTGTGATAAGTTCATTTAAGATCAGCTATTGTGGGAAAGGGAATCTCATAGCACTTGAATAACTTTACATCTTACTGGTTTTAGAAGTCCTGACAAAAGAATATGTGAATAATATGGTATTTTCATCTATACCTACCCATAGATATCATGAAACTTCAGTACCTTTTGAATTACAGTCATTTGTGCTGGAACTACCACCACTAGAAAGATTAATTCTGGGAATGAAGTTACAGCAGTAGTAACGATTCAGCCTTTTCTGGGCTGTAATGCAATCCCAGAATTACTGTCTTGTGGTGTCAGTACTTTCTGCATTGTCACTGGGAAACATCGGTGCTTCCCCATGGGTAGGTAAAGGCATGAATTTAAAAACAATTCACTTAAGTCAAGTATAATTTTTTTAGTTTTGGTAGAGGAGTATTGAGCTGAAATACAAAAAGAAAACTTACTTCCAAAAAACAGGGCAAAAACCTACAAGTTCAAATTATAATTGAATTTAAAGAGTATTTTATGAATACTACTTCTGAATAATTGATTCTATGTGGCCATTGTAATTTGATGATATTGATTTGCTATAGGATACTCTACGTATCCAATGTCAGATACAAAATGTGATGATTTCAAGTAAGATTCATTTCTAGTAATCCTTTTATTTTGTGATACAAAGTATAGATCACATTTTGTAGTAAAGGAGTTTAAATGATGATTTGTGTTATATAACTTGCTGAGTTTCATGCTCTAAAATTATAAAAAGCCTTTCATATGGGACATTGATTAGGTAGAAAAGGCTGTTTATACTTCTATTTTTTCTGTAATAGCTTGATCGTATTTTGACTGCTGCTCCTATTATTCCAGATAAGTGCAAAGTGTTCAGTAATTAAATTGCAGCTTATTCTTGTTAAATGAATAAATTAATATAATTTACATTATAGATCTCCTCTAGACATGGCAGATGCCGTTTATTTTTGCTCCTCTGTCACAGTTTTACTTTTTTTTGCTTGGCCTATCCTTGTGTACACCTCCTTGTCTCCTGTTGGGCAGGAGTCTGCCTCCTGGCACTGTAGTTGTGGCACACTGGGTGTGGGACTCAAGAGGCCCGCTGTAAGTGCTGGTTTTCTTTTTAATAGATAGCCTTGTAAGTGGTTGTTTAGTGAATTGTGTGAAACTGCGTATAAATGAAGACGTTCCCATACTTTGATAATATGTTTGTAACCTTTTCTTTGTAATTATACACAGACAACTAAATTTGATTATGTAGCACCGCCATAATAACTATATCAATAATGGCTATTTATTTTAGTTTTAAATAAAAATAAAAACATTTTTCCCCCCCCTCACTTAATGAAAATACTGGGGATTGCCCAGAGTTCTTTAAAATACAAAGGGCTTATAAAAAATGTTAAGGGACTAAAATTCATGTCTAAGATTAAATAGTAGATAATCATGAAATGAATATTTTTTTAGCACTGTGTATAATTTCATGAGTCATTGTTAGTTTGTGAACTATATTTTTGTCCTTGATAGTTTTTAATGAATACTGCTTTTATTCATTGAAAATTTTCTCTAGTTTGTATGTTTGATAATTTAGATCTCTGAAGTAGTAAAGATCGTGACAGTTAAAACAATTGGGAGTATTGTTTGATAGATGTGTTTTGCTTGCTGTTTTGTATTTGTCTACTCCATTCTTTGTACTTGTGAGAATTTTGGCATTTATACATTCATTAGATCACCAGTTTTGATTAGCAAATACGAGTCTTAAAAGCATCTTTTCTTTCCTTTTCCCCTTTAAATAGTCTTATAAATACTATGCAGATTTTATTTTTAATTTTTATTTATTTGTCAATAGGTTGATATGAATTTCATGAGGAAAATTCCTTCGGGAGCCGAGGCGTCCAATGTTCTGGTGGGAGAAGTAGACTTTTTGGAAAGACCTATAATTGCGTTTGTGAGACTGGCCCCTGCTGTGCTCCTCTCAGGGTTGACTGAGGTCCCTGTCCCTACCAGGTGAAGAGTTAGTTCCAGTTAACGTTCTCCCAGCACTTCCACAATCTAAACATTTTTATCTTCTAAAGGAACATGTTGTTTTATGTAATAAAAGATCATTTTAATCGTTCATCTTGTCATTGTACACTTTGACTATTAGAGGATAAAAGAATGACCTTTCTAGAACTAACAAAGAAAAAATAAAAATAAAGCAAAGCGTCCTTTAAAAAAAACTTTGCTTTGATACCTTTATTAGAAGTTCGGTAGCTTTGGTATCTCATCATTTTAGACATATTGTGTTCTGTGCAGGCACTGGCGTTGGAGTAAATGGAGTTGAATCCTCATTCTGACACTGTTTATGGGAGAGTCAAGCAAACTTAAAATTTCCAAGCTTTATTTGTAAAATGAGTATAATGATACCTCATAGGGTGGATTAAATGTGATGATGCCTCTGAATTAGGGAAAATACTTTGTCCTGAAATGACCAAAATCTTCAGCTGTAAATTTAATCCTAAAGGAGAGTAATTTTTAAAAGTTTTAAAATTATTTTTATGATAGTAAATCTATAGAATTAATTGTAACTTGATTGAAATTTACGCACCTATTTTTAACATGCTTTACTGGAGGTGCATTAATTGTACAGTATTAAGATAAATAAGAAAGCTAATTCCATAGATTCATATTTCATTTCTCATAACGCAGGAAGATGAATACTTTCCATTTGGATAAGTGTGAATATTAATATTTTGCTGTAGTGTTAATAAGGAAATAACTGAGTAGGAAGTTAAATACTTTTTATTTAGTCACTATAAATATACTTAAAAATCAAATAATATGAAGTGTGATGTTAATTTGGAGTTGTAGATAAAAATTACTTTTCCTCCCAAAGGAATTAGTCCCTTATTTACCATATTCGAGTCTTTATCTAGACTGTATTTTGAGGGATTGTGGATTTTTTTGTGTATGGTCTTTAACTATTTTATTAGGCAAACCTTAATTAAGTACTTAAATGGGATTGGTATTCACTATTATTTTTTTGTCAATGCAGAGCAGAAAAAAATTGTTTGCTCAAATTCAAAAGGATATAGAAGATGGGAACTTTTAATGTAAAACATTAAATTCCTTAATTACTGTCTTACCCTAAGGAAGATGGGAAATCATAACTTGGTAGAAAGTTAATTATGAATGTCTTCCTTAGTTTTGCGAACTGCTTTTGTCTGAATAGAGCTGCCATCTTTTTTTCAGTGATTGTTATGGAAGGATGGAAAACAGGTCCAAGTGTTATTTTTGTGTTCACGTTTGAATGATTTTTTTTTTATGATTTGATTCCTGAGATTATTTTGTGTATATTGTTCATGTTTCAATCTATGTATTTTAATGTTTCCTTAGGTTTTTATTTCTGTTATTGGGTCCAGCAGGCAAGGCACCACAGTACCATGAAATTGGGAGATCAATAGCCACTCTCATGACGGATGAGGTAATTAAAATAACCCTTTGAAGTGGACACTGATTATGTAGCATATAATATCTGAAATCCCTTTGAAGTGGAATTTCAAATCCCTTTGAAGTGGATACTGATTATGAAGCATATAATATATATTAAATTATAGTGCTCCTTTCTTTCAGAGTAAAGCTTAAAAAAAGTCCTTGCTGTCTGTACTATTATATCTCATGTTCACTCTTCAACCATTTGCCTTTATTAAGGTCTTGAAGACCTTCCTGTCAGGATCAATGGATAGATGCTCTTTGGTCTCTGACCCTTCCCCAGCATTTGAAAATTATTGATCACCTCTTTGAAATTTTCTCCATCCTGGATTTTAGGACATCATTTCTTTGGGGTTTCTTCAGGACTTTTTTCTCTGTTCTGTTTGTGAACTTCACCTGTGACCATGATCTAGCCGTTCAGGACTGCTCTCTCTGGGGAGGAGCTTTGTAATCAGGTACCAGGCACCTCTGCCATGTGTCCCCTAAGGAATCTGAAACCCCACATATCTGAATCTGTCCTCTTTTTTTCTATCCTGCTTCTACTGATTTTACCTCTTTAGTGTGCTTTGCACGTAACCTGCCATCGCCTTCCATCTTCATGCCAGTTCTCTGGCTTACACTCTCTTACCTTCTTCCCTTTGGTGATTAAAATGTATTTTTGTGGGTCTTTCTCTTACAGTACTTTCCTCTACACTATTAATAACATGCAGAACTGAGTATATCATTTCCTTGATCCAAATTTTTCAGTGACATCTTGTTATATGTTTATGTTTAAACTCTTTACTGTTGTCTTAATAGTGTCTGTCTGATCTAGCCTCTGCATACGAGGTGTAATCAAACAGTATGGTGAATGTTTAAGTAAAAGAAAAAATTATTACAGGAGCCGGCCGAGTGGCTCATTGGTTAGGAGTTGGCTTGGGAGTGTGAGCTCTGAGCAGCAGGGCCGCCGGTTTGGATCCCACATGAGGGCCAGTGATGCTGCGCCCTCTACAGCTAAGATGGTGAACAACAGCTCCAGCTGGAGCTGGACTGCCATGAGTTGCCGGCAACGGTGTAGGCTGCAGTGGGGCTGCAGTGGGCTGCCATAAGCTACTGTGAGTGGCTGGCAGGCAGCGTGAGCTGCCGTGAGCCGCTGTGAGTGGCCATCCAATGGCCAGCGACTGACTGCCTCAGCCAGGAAGAGCGCAATGATCACAATACCAACATGGGCTAGTGAAGCGATGTCCTTCACAACTAGACCGAAGAACAAAAGGACAGCACCTTGTCTGTTCCCTTCCCCCAATTCCCCAATAAAATTAAAAAAAAAAATTATTACAGCAAAAATCACATTGCCATTAATCCCCCTCTAAATGCTCCCCCTCGCTTTGAACATACTTATCCCATTGTTCTTGCCACTTTCTGAAGCAGTTCTGGAAGCCCTCTTTCTTTCTTTTCTTTTTAGTTAAAGTTTATTGGGGTAACAATGGTTAGTAAAGTTACATAGGTTTCAAATGCACAATTCTGTGATACATCATTTATATATCACATTGATATCATATTGTGTGTTCACCATGGAAGCCCTCTTTCTTGAGTGTTTTTAGTTGCACTGTCGTGGCTGCCTAGATGTCCTGAATCATTTTGACTTTGGAGAAGAGCCGTAAGTCACACGGTGCCAGATCCAGTGAATAAGGTGGATGAGGACACACAGTAATGTTTTTATTTGACAGAAATTGCCATATATCAGAAGTGATGTGTGACATGAAGTGTTGCATGATGGAGGATGACTTATGGCACACTTTAAAACACATCTTCTCCCAACTGTAGCTCACACCAGACTGACTGCACTGAACAAGGTGAAACTTGTCACACACTGTTACTAAGTTTTGTTTGATGTTCTGCTTCCTGTATGGAAGGCCCCTGCCTTTCCGTTGGATGTCACCTGGCAGCAGCATTCACTGTGTATTTTGATCACAATGGAAAGGCTCCGTGTCACACATCATAATTTCTGTCAAATAAAAACATTGCAGTGTGTCGTCATCCACCTTATTCACCCGATCTGGTACCATGTGACTTCTAGCTCTTCCCCAAAGTCAAAATGACCATGAAAGGTAAATGTTTTGAATTGATTCAGGACATCGAGGCAGCCATGACAGCGCAACTAAAGACACTCACGAAAGAGGACTTCCAGAACTGCTTCAGAAAGTGGCAAGAACTATGGGATAAATATGTTCGAAGTGAGGGAGAGTATTTTGAGGAGGATCAATGGCAATGTGTCTTTGACTAATAATTTTATTTTTTTTAAGATTTTTATTTTTATTGGGGAATTGTGGGATGGGAACAGCGCTGGGGAATTGGAGGAAGGGGAACAGACAAGTTGCTGTCGTTTTGTTCTTCAGTCTAGTTGTGGAGGACGTTGCTTCACTGGCCCAAGTTGGCACCATCATTGCGCTCTTCCAGGGTGAGGCAGATCAGTCGCCGGCTTCTGGATGGCCGCTCATGGCGGCTGCTGGCCACTCACGCTGGCTGCTGGCTACACACGGTAGCCCATGGCAACCCACTGCCACAGGGGCCGCGGCCTATGCCGTCTCCGGTGACTCAGGGCAGCCCAGCTCCAGGTTGAGCTGCTGTTCAGCATCTTAGCTGTAGAGGGCAGTGTCACTGGCCCTCATATGTGGGATCCGAACCGGGGCCCTCTGGCGTCCCAAGCCAGTTCTTAACCATCGCGCCACTCGGCCGACCCCTAATAATTTTTTTTTTACATGTAAACGTTCACCGTATTTTTTTATCACACCTTGTACTTCTCTAAATTTACTTCCTACTGCTCTTCACCCCTCCTCCTCCATTTTGCTCCGGCCACATTAGCTTCCTTTTGGTTCCTCAGATGTGTTATGCTCATTCTTGCCTCTGGACACTTAAACTGCTGTTTTCCTTTGCCTGAGAGCTCTTCCACCATCTCCACCTCACTCCACTCGACCTACCCTCTGCGTGGGTTTGTCCCTCATTTCATTCACATTTCTCCCAATTACCTCTTCTAAGAGACCTCCCTTTAACCCGCTTTATTTTCATCAGAGCGTTTAATGATACCTGCAATTATGTATGTACGTAATTAACTTGTTTCACTGTCTTTCACCTTGGTTCTTAAGTGCAGGGACCTTGTCTTATCTACGTCCATTGCACTATACACACAGTGCTTAGAATTGTGCCTGGCAAAGAATAGTAAGCGTCCAGTAAATATATGTGATCAAATAAATTAATTGTTTCAGTAAAATTGTTTGCATATCCATGATTATTCCTTTAGGATAAATGGCATTAAACTATCACAGAAGTGAACTGACATGCTATTGTGTTTTATTTTGTAATGAATTACTAAGTATAATACTATAAAAATTTCTCTTTTTAAAAATTGTTTTGTCTTACATCACTATTTTCTTTTGTTGTTTGATTGTTACTGTTGATTTATCTAATAATACTAATAGTGAGTTATTTTTTATAGTGGCTATCCAGGGTGGGATAGAGACATGTTTGGGTAAGTGGTTAGGTAATTATCTTTATTGTAGAGTTATCTATGATAGCTAAAGCGGATTTATTATGTAGAGTTTTCTTTCAACTTTGAAACCCTTTTACTCAATTTTTTTTCTTTAGATATTTCATGATGTGGCTTATAAAGCAAAAGACAGAAATGACCTCTTATCTGGAATTGATGAATTTTTAGATCAAGTAACTGTCCTACCTCCAGGAGAGTGGGATCCTTCTATACGCATTGAGCCACCAAAAAGTGTTCCTTCTCAGGTAAGGATCTACAACTCTTTGAGTTACTTAAAATAACTTTTTTGAATACTTTATACATTTTCAAAACTGAAAACTATGTGTTACGCTCAGAGAAGCTGTACCCCAGGATGTCCCCTTTACATTTTTACCCTTGTACCTACCTCTTGTGGGTTGCCATTTGTTACTAGCTTTTTGTTTATCCTTCTAGTTTTTACTCAGTACAAAGAAATATAACCTCATAGTCTTATTTTCTTCTCTTTCTTGCCAAAAGTTAACATACTGTACACTGTTCTGCACCTTGCTTTTATCATAGAACAATAAATCTTGGAGATCCGATTATAAGAAATCATAGAAATAGTCCTTATTCTTTTTCGCGTAGCTTTGTTATATTCCATTTATGGGGATATCATAGTTTATCCTATTCCTGGGCTCAGGTTGTTTTCAGTCTTTTGCTATTACAAACCCTATCATAGCAGTCATATGCTATATTAGTCTTGTGCAGATAGAGTGCCAGAAATAGGAATGCTGGCTCACGTGGGAATTTATAATTTTCCTAGATATTACCAGAATCTCTTTTTATCATATTGAATTATTTTGGACTCCCACAGTGATGTATGTTCTTATGTCCCTACAGTCTCACTAACACAATATGTTGTCATGCTGTTGAGTATTTGTCAGTCTGGTAGATATCTTTATCTTACTGTACGGTGTATTTTAATATGGTTTTAATTTGCATTTTTGTGATTAGTGGGGTTGAATATTCTTGAATATTTTTTGTTCATTGCCCTCCACCAGTTTTGGTTTTTTGTTTTTTTTTTACATTTAAAGTGATCATTGATCCTTTGGAATTCATCATGCATATTATGGTATATTATGTGGAGTATGCATCCAACTTTATGTTTTTTCTAAATTGCTGACTGGTTGTCTCAATTTATTAAAAAAATTAAGCCTTACTCCCTTTGAATGGTGATGTTGCCTTTCTCATTTACTAAATTTCCATATGCATGCAGGTCTTTTGTGGAATTTCTTTTCCATTGGTGTGTGTATTCATGTACCAATTCCACACTTTCTGGCATATCTTAATATCTGGTAGGTCTAGATTCATTCTTGACCCCTCTCTTACTGATTTTCTGAATTTCCTTGGCCATCTTTACATGTTTATTTTTTTATGTAAGCTTTAAAATCAGCTTTCTATTTACAGAAATAAAACCTGATTTAAAACAAAATTGTGATGGCAGTTAAATTTCTAAAATGAACTGAGGGAAAATTGACATCTTTATAATATTGAATCTATTCAAGAAGAGGGTATATCTTTCCCCAGTTTTCCTATTTCAAGTCAGTTTTTGCGTCCTTAAGGAACATTATAAAGTTCTCCCTCCTTATCTACACTTTACATGTTTCTTGGTGAGTGTATTCATAAGTATTTTATGTTTATCGTTGCTATTGTAAATGAAGTCTTTGTTTCATTATATCCTCTGTTACTTTTATATATATGGAGGCCTTTTGTTACTGTATGTTTCTTTTTATCCTACTATCTTTCTTTATTCTTGTATTGTATATAGTAGATTTTCAGTCATACCTGCAGTAAGAGATAATTTTATCCTTCCTTATTAAATTTGTATACCTCTATATTTCCTGTTGTCTAATTGTATTGACTAAAATCTCTAATAGTGTTAAGTTGTAGTTGACTTTAAATGGACATTTCTTATTAATTTCTAACTCTGGTCAATGTCCCTGGTGTTTTTCTCACTGGGACCAAAATACACATTTTATCATGTTAGGAAAGTACCCTAATTTCTATTTCTATGAAAATTTTAATGTAAGTAGGTGTTGAGTTTTGTCAAAGGGCTTTTTGTGATCATATCAATTTTATTTATCAATTATTATGGTAAAACATATTAATAGATTCTTTAATATGAAAACACTCTTACATTGTTGGAATAAACCCAACTTGGGCTTTAAAGTGCTGGTAGTCTATGTCTAGTAGTTTATTTAAGTTGTTTGCATCTCTGTAAGTTGATTGGCCTTTAGATTTCTGTGCAGTCTTAATGTTTTGATATCATCATTATATTTGTTTCATAAAAAGAAATATTAAGTTTTCCTTTTCCTGTGATCTTAAAACTTTAAATGGCTTGGAATAATTTGGTTCTAAAAGTTGGAAGAATTCTTTTGTAAAGAATTCTGAGCTTGAATCTTTTGTTGTATGGTAGGCTTCTACAACTTGCTTATTTTTTCTGTGGAAATTGGTTTATGTAAGCTTTTTATGTTTTCTGGGGTCAGTGATGGTAAGTTATATTTTCCTTGAAAATTGCTATTTCCTTCTTTTTTGGTGTCAGTTTTGGGAAATTATGTTTTCCAATATATTACCCATTTCACCAAGGTTTCAAATTATATTTGCATAGGGTTATATAGTATAGTTTCTTTTTATGTTTCATATATATATATATGTACAGTTTCCTTCAGTTTGTGGTTTGTGAAGTTGCTGCTGGCATAGCTTTTGCTTTGTATTAGGCCAGTGGCTTATCATATTTTTCAAATATAACAGCTTTTAAAATTTATTTAGCTCTCCTTTTTAAAAAATGTATTTTGTTTTCTAACTCAGCTTCTGAATTTAGCTGTTTTATTTCATTACTTTCACTTTCCTTCAGGAAAGATTTTTGTTTTGTTGGTTTGTTTTCACATTTCCTGTGTTAGATGCTTAATTCATTTATTTATATTCTCTCATTTTTTTTTTAGCAAAAGTGCTTGATTTTCTTGAATGATGCTTTTGTTGCATCCCATAGATTGTGATATGTAGTATTTTCCATTATGTTTGTTTTCTAGGAATTCTGTAATTTTTATTGTTTCTTTCACCAATGAGCCAAGATGCAATTTAACTTGATATTTTTAAATGGCAATCTTATGATTATAGATAAGTCTTTCTACTGTATAAATATTGAACATATAAACCAGGTAGCGTATGCTTATAGTTCATCCAGAGCCTTTGACCCAGGGGACCTTCTGGGATGAACAGCCCCCTGCCCCACACCCTGCACGTCATCTTTTTCTCCCTGCTCCCCTCTCCCTCCTCCGCCCCCTCCCTTTCCTGTTTCCCTTCCTCCTCTCCCTCCCTGCCTTCTCTTTCTTCTCTTCTCTTTCCTTCTCTCTTCTCTCTCTTATTCTTTTAGGCCCAGCAACCTCTGACTTCTGGGAGTAACAAGTTAAAAGCTCACTTCTTTCTCTTCAACTGAGGGGGACAAGATCCTTTATCATGAGAACAGTACTCTTGAATTTATAATAAAATTTAATGGGAAATTGATTTTTATTGAAATGTGTTTAACAAACAGCTCTTGAGCTACTTATATCTTAAGGGAAATTTTTAGTAAACAAAAAAATCCCATTTACTTTTTCGTATTGTGAAGTATGTTTTCAGTAGTTAACATGAGCAATATTTTAAAAATTCTGGTTGGTGAGATGCTTTATTGAATATTTACGTTCCTGTTCCTGAATAATAATTTGAAATGGGGTGTATGCATGTGTTTTATAGTATATTTGGTATTAGAATATAAAATGGAAAAAGCCAGTCATGAATTTAAAATATTCATAGAGATGAATATTAGATTCTGTTCTAAAGTACAATTTATTTAAAGTTGAAATGTACTTTAGGAAGCATTTTTTTCTAGGAGCAATAATTAGGTAATAACTAGGTATATAACCAGCGTGAGAGCTTATGCTCCCCCTAATTGAAGATGCCACCTCAGCTTTCTTAAAACAGAATTCTGAAAGGTTTTAATTCTTTTCATGAAATACAGGAAAAGAGAAAGATTCCTGTGTTTCCCAATGGGTCCGCCCCCAGCTCGGGTGAGATTCTTAAAGACGCTGCTCATCACGCCGGGCCTGAGCTACAGAGGACTGGAAGGTGGGTACACGTACTGATACGGTGTGGGTGTCTGTCTGAGACTAGGGGTTGACCTGATTGATGAAAAAGGCATAAACATTCTTTTCCTTTGCAAATATTTGGAACCTAGTCTTACACAGCATTTTTTTTCATATTAAAAAAAAAATGTACCTTGTGGTATATAGGCAGATGATGTTAAGGGAAATTAATATGCATCTTAAAGTAATTTTACTAGTATACACTTGGGTTCTGTATGTCAAGCTTTAATTTAAAATGAAACCAGTAGGCACCACATGTTAAGAATACCGCACAGTTTTATATAGTAGGTCAATTTACATTAATTTACAAGAAGGTTCTTGAAGGGAAGTATGGAGTCCTATTACAATTCTCCATGTGAAGTTGGAGAATTATGAGACTAGAGAGGAACTATAACCAGTGTTTTTTGTGTGTGCATAGACTTAAAACTCTGAAAAGAGCATTGTATCATGAAATAATGTAAAATTACATAAATATAATTAAACCGTGGTAACGACCTCTGGAAACCAAGTTAGAAAAATTTTTCAAGTTGTTCATTTTTGAAATGAAGAATGGAAATATTGCCAGGTGCAAACATTGTCTTAAAATATTTTTGTAGAACTAGAGAAATGTTACAGTATTTTTATATTGTAGAAAAGCATCTGGATAGTGATACTGCTTTGTCCACTGGTTGCCGCTGTGGAAGTGAAAATCTTGAATCTTAAATATTTGTTTAAAAAACCAGGATATCTTATACAGACACTCTATTAGAGATATTAATGATAGGCCTAAAGAATACTGTATAGAAGTAGAATAACAATTGGCATACTGAATGTAAACTTTAGAGAAGCTTAAACTCACAATTAATTCGTTGATCAACATATTAGTCTCTGTGAATATAGGAGAGAATGAGACTGGCCCTGCATGCAAGCTGCTGGTCAGATATTAGCTATTGTTATTATTTTTTTCTCAAACTTCAAACTGAAATAGCATTAGCCACTGAGAAGCGCCAAGGCCGCTATTGATCTCACGGTCCCCTGAGAGCCTCAGAGATAAGCTGTTAAAGAATCAATTACTGATTTGATGAGGTTGTTTCATTTTCTAGAGTATCATTGGCACCCCTTTTATTGCAAGTTGATTCCCCTTGCTGTCATATTATTTATAGGATAACTTTACTTGTCAATGTGTGTTTAAGATCCATTTCAATGTTAATCTAAAAAAAATTAGAATGGTAAAGCTTAAAACCAAAGCATTTATTTAGAAGCATAAGATTAATTTTTTGGTGTGTTTTCTATAGTAGGGATTTAAATTATATTTTTGAGTCACAAAACCTTTTTGAATTATTGATTTGTTACCAGTTATTTATTGAGTACCAGCTGTGCCCCAGGTAGTGTTCTAGACACTGGAGGTAATGGCAGTGAACAAGAAAAAATCTGCCCCTCACAGAGCTTAATTTTAGTGGAATGCTTTCAAGTGAGATATACTGAAAAGTCTGATTTTAAAAAACAAAACAAAACAAAACACTGAAATGATACAGCCTTGATGTACAAATATGGCTTTTAAATTTACCAATTAAAACCTCTTTTATTAATACGCACACTAGTTTGACTATATGTACAGTAAATTAAATACACTAAGTAGTTTTTAGGCTTTTTTCCTGAACCAGAAATATTTATGTGATTGAAGTACTAATTTTAAAAATAATTAAAGTTATTTAATTCACTACTTAGTGCATCTAACCACAGCATCCTCTATTCATATTAAAGGGTGTTTGGGGACTCATGATTTATATTATAATTGCCTTCCTGGTATTTCTGACACTTGCCTTTAAGATTTATCATGTAGATAATAATGAATAGAATTGCTTATGTACATTTTTATGAATGGGTTGTTAGGTATTATTTATTTTTAATGTACATTTCCTTGCACTGTGGTAATGATCTTTGGAAACTTAGTTGGAAAAATTGTTAAAGTTGTTCATTTTTGAAATAAAGAATAGAAATATTGCCAGGTGCAAACATTGTCTTAAATTACATTGTGTCTGAAACTACGTTTACTCATATAAAATCATTTGCCTGCAGTCTTTTCAGTATGTAGTCCATAAAATACAGATGTTTATGCCTCTTTTAACTGAATGAGATCTATCTTTCCTCTACCAGTGGATTAGATTAAATGAGTGTCTCTTCTATAATTTATACCGTGATTTAAATAGGATATTAATTTTTGTTGACAAAACACTATAGACACCAGCAGTTTTATGTAGCCCATAGTTTTAGTTTGAAATAGCTAGAATCCTCTAGTGTACAGTTTGACGAGTTTCATCTCACCTATTTAGGCTTTTTGGTGGTTTGATACTTGACATCAAAAGGAAAGCACCTTTTTTCTTGAGTGACTTCAAGGATGCATTAAGCCTGCAGTGCCTGGCCTCGATTCTTTTCCTATACTGTGCCTGTATGTCTCCTGTAATCACTTTTGGAGGGCTGCTTGGAGAAGCTACAGAAGGCAGAATAGTGAGTACAAAGATTGGTAGCGGCCAGGCTCTTAGCTCTTCAGAGGCAAGTGTCTGTGTGCATTTGTCTCACCATTCATACTTTTATTTGAAGAGTCTACCCACAGCATGATTAACCTGTCCCAAAGCAGACTTCCCCCAGAGGTAATTGCTATGGAAAACATGGGGAAGCCATATGAACAGGAGAAGATGCACAGTTGAGGTAAAAAAAAAAAAAAAAAAAAAGAAAAGAAAAAGAAAATGAAGAAACGAAAGAAAAAAAAGAAAAACAGAAGTTTATCTTGGCTTGCTGGATGAATGGTTTTATACATTTGAGTAAAAGGCTTGTATTGTCTATGTGGGGGAGACGGGTCGGGTTCGGGGGAGACCAAATGAACTGATTCTGGGTGGGTCATGGGTGGGGGAATTTATCACTGGGGCTACTTCATACCCTGTAAGGCATCATAGCATTAGTCAGAGCCATGTGATTAATATGAACCCACCAGCCCTGGCAGGGAGGCCTGGACTAAACTATTTGGAAGAAGAGAACATAATTGTGGACAATGATGGATTTTTGAAGTGGTGCTTACTTTAATTTTGTTGTTACTAAATGAAAGTGCAAGTAGTCAAAGCTTTCATTGGCAAATATAACTGAAAACTGCATCCATAATTTGATATGACTAAAGTGAAAGTTATGTTTTGTTTTTTTTCTTGGTAATATTGTATTAGGTGCTGGGGGAGGCATAACTAAACAGTGCTTTGTAAAATCTTGAAGACTTTTATTTGTTGTTTGTATATATATTTTAATGGCATTTAAATGAGATGTTATGTAATTCTTAAGTGTATTTTATTGAATTATATTTACTCTTGGGAGAAATTCATTTTTCAATGGATAAAAGGTGACACAATAGCCAAAACTAAGTAGTGATAATTATTTAATTAAAGTATTTCATGAGCTTTAACGTGAGATAAACCTGACACTTGAAATTTCCTTTCAACTCAACCCATTTCCGATTGTGTAGATTCTTTTCTCTTATTCTGTGATCACTGTAGCAACGGGATATATTTTTTGTAAGTTGCTTCATGTGCTGTCCTAAGTTGTACATGTAACTCTGCCGGTCCCTGTGGAAGCGTGTCGTAGCTGTCACCATCGTGGAAACGCTGCTTTGCTTTTGGCCTCTCACTCACTGCCTGCCCATCTCATCCTGCTGTTGAATACCATGTGCATGCGATAGTGCTTCAGGCCCTAGAGGCGTGTAGACAGGTGTAACACAAGCATGGGTCTTCTGTCCTCAAGGATCCTAACCTAAGAAACAAAAGATAAGATAGCATATGCATAGTTACGATGTTCTGGGGTGCTGTGCCCCAAGAGTGAGCTAAAGGGAAGCGCTGAAGCGATAGAAAGAGACACCTCTGGAGTATTATGGAGGAAAGTGATACGGAAGTGCTGTGTTTGTTTTCAGATGCTTTCTTGGAACTTCAAGTATAAAAGGAGGCATTAGGAGGTGGAATCCCAGAGTTTGTAGGGGTGAGGAAGAAACGAGTAGATTGGGAATGGTTCCCATACAAGTGGGGGTTGGACCAGAATAGATGAGGCTAACAAAGGAGATAATTTAAACAAAGAGGAGAGGAAAAATATGGGAAGTGACATTTATGAAATGGAGGAGGGATGAGGATGAAGAGGAAAATGGCCCAGCAAATTAGACACAGGCACAAGAATCGGGATGATGTAATTAATATTGCAAAAACCAAAATAGAGGTTTTTGAGGAGGAAAGACTGGCAGGGAGTACCCAGTGCCATGCAGTGGATGGAGAGGCATATGGGGAAGAAAGTGGAGGGCTCGCGATGGGTGAAATGGAAACTCCTGAACGTGGGTGGGAAAGACAGGTAGTACGGCTGTGATTTCTTTAGGGAAAGACATGGTTCAGTTTTGGAACGAACATAGAAACAGTTTAAAAATTAGAAAAAAAAGTAGGTCTGGGTAAAGGACCTAGTAAACGTGGCAATAAAAGTTTGGGGGTTGGTGAAAGAAAGGTCTTTATGTGGCTGATTCTGCTTTTTCAATATAACGTGGGAGAGGGAAACTTAATTTTGTGCCCATCTGCCCCCTCTTAGCATTTATTTGTCATCTCTGCTTTTCTTCACAATTTTTTGCTTTCTCTCTCTAGATATTATTTAGACATTTGTTTCCTTTGGCTTGATCTCTGCCTAAATTTATTACTAAATATTCATATTCTGTCTGAATTTAGGGTTTTATAATGGCTTAACTGTGTCTTCTAGGACAAACTGTCTACGGGCAACAAGACAAATTTATCACATACAATTAACAAATATATTGTTGGTATGAACACATCTTCATTTTGCCAAATGTCAAGTTTGTATGCGGGTTTGATCCTGTTTCTATAGGATCTATTTCTAATAGTTGAATTCAAATTTTACTGCACTCTTGTTTTGTGATTTTGATTTTGGAAGATGCTGTCATTGCTGCTGATGAGATTTGCTACCATTTTGTTGATGATTCCAGGCTTGCTAGGTGTTTTCACAAATGCTCCTTCATTAAGTTCTCCTGGCTCCCATCACCCCCATTTAAAAGTGAGAAAGGTTGGGCTCCAAAAGTTTTAGGCATGTCCCTGGCTTAACACCTGGTAGGAACCAGCCTTCCACGTCAATCTGATTCTCAAGCCCTGTTCTTCGCCTGCTGCTCTGCTGCCTCTGCTTTCCTGGGGGGTTCTCACAAGCTTCTCCCTGCCTTTACCGATGATGGGCTTTTCCTTTCTTACCTTCTGTTTGTGAACGGTAAACCATTCTTTCCTTTTCTTTCTGATCACTGCCCTCTGTCTAGTGGCATAGCCTACATCTTACTATCTAATAACCTAGAGTCAGAATAGAATGGTGGTGGTGGTATAAAATTGGCCTATTAGCTTTGATTTAAATTTTCTGAGTCTTTTCATTTTCTCATTTTATCTTTTGTTACCAAACTTGAATCATAATCAGATATTTCCTCCTTTATGGTTGCTGTGAGTTTCTTAAAGAGATGTTCCTTCTGTTTTATTTATGTTCAGCATTTCATTTTTGAAATCTATTGGCCAAACCTACCATATTAATTTCTTTAAAATGTGTGGAAAATTGCTCTTTAGAAACCAATTTGAGAACAATAGAATCACTGGCTAATTTCTTACTTACCTGTTCGAAGGAATCCTTTTCTAACACACAACATTGAGTATTTAATGTTTTCTGTTTTTTTAAATGAACTACTTCAGATGTACGAAAATATTCAACATAATATATACATCTTTGTGCTCACCACAGGCTTAAGAAATAAAACATCTATAGATAGAATTGAAGCCTCTATGCCTGTCTTCCATTTACTCCTTCCTCTTTGCCTTTCACTGTATTGAGGTTTGAATTATGGTTGATTATAAAAGTTCACATTTAATATGCAAAAGCACAGCAATTTTCCTTAATGTATTTAAAATGTATTTGTAATTGTCCATGTTTAAAATGTAAATGTGAGACTGAAAGTTGTGGTTGCTTTGTATTTTAACTACTTGATTAGTGTTTTTATTTTCCAGATGTCTATTACATGTATTATAATAGGTTAGAGATATGTTTATGATGTGTTGCTTTTATTCATTTCTTTTTCCCTTAAACAGAGTGCAATAGAATCTCTTTTCGGAGCATCACTAACTGGGATTGCCTATTCGTTGTTTGCTGGGCAACCTTTAACAATATTGGGGAGTACAGGCCCAGTTTTAGTGTTTGAAAAAATTTTATTTAAATTCTGCAGGTACGTAGTAATGGTCATATACTTGTCATATGTGTTTACATGTGTGTGTAATTATATATTATATTGTTTATTAACTTTAGGTAAGAGTACATTATATATAATAGCTGAAAAAGATCTGATCTATATCATCTATTTATCTATCTATTTAATATTTTTGTGTTACTCTGGCCCCTATCATTAGCTCTACCCCAATCACTTAGAGTATAAAATCAATGGATTTTAGTTCTGATAAGCAAATGCCTTGAGGGGCAGTACAAACCCTTTGTGCTAGCAAATTTCTACTCGGTAAGAAGGTGTCCCTCTGAATTGTTTGTTAGATGGCATTCTGGTCTTGTTTTACAAAAGAAGTTTAGAAAGAGGAGGATCTTAAAGGCTCAAGCCTGCTTTGCTAATCGGGCTTGTTTAACAGGGAATTTCCGCAGTCGGAGTGAGTTTCCCGCTTCCTTCTGCAGGGTTGTTCACCAGGGTTGTTCACCGTGCGGCCATCAGTGCAGGCTTCTGCGGCCAGCAGACTTGGAATTTGATATGGCCAGCACTGTGCCTTTTGTGAGATAAATGCAACTGAATATTTTAGCGTGAAACAACCTGGTGCTGTTAAATATTTGATGCCCCTAACTCCCCTACTCTGATTCTCTGCTGAACAAGCTGATGCGGATTCTGATCTGGCATGCTGCGGAGACTAGTAGAGAATGCAGTGACCTGAGGTGTTTTTGACTCTGTGGTAGTAATTTCTGATTTGAAAGAGAATTTAAAAATGAAGTCACTTTCTGTGGTGATGCTGGTGGTAGAGGAGATGGCGGTGAGTATGGCAGTGACATTGGGGCAGTGGTGTCATTAACGACACTAGAGCAGCTGGGTCATTTGAGAGAGTCATACTCAGTTGTCCTATAGACTGCTTATCTGTCATTTGCTCCTCAGAACTGATTTCTGAAGTGAGGTCTTTGGTTTTGAAATATTTATTGCCTAGTAGATTTTCACTGTAGATCTTTTATATAAGTAAAATATAATCATTAAGTCTGCTATTAAGCTAGTCTTCAGTTGAAGCAGAAAAACACAACTTTCATGAGTCATTTTTCGCCAGTTATTCTGTAATTTAGTCTCCTTTGGAATATTATGTTGTTATACTGTTCTTATTGCTTGTTATGAAAATTTTAAGTACAAATACTATTCCTTATGTATATGTTGATCATGTTCACATTTTTCTTTCTAAACAGAGATTATCAGCTTTCCTATATGTCTTTAAGAACCAGTATTGGGCTGTGGACTTCTTTCTTGTGCATTGTTTTGGTTGCAACAGATGCCAGCAGCCTTGTGTGTTACATCACTCGATTTACAGAGGAGGCATTCGCGGCTCTCATTTGCATCATATTCATCTATGAGGCTTTGGAGAAGCTCTTTCACTTGGGAGAAATATATGCATTTAATATGCACAACAATTTAGATAAACTGACCAGCTACTCGTAAGTGTTTCTGTTTTCCCCTAATATTAAAATTTATTTTTGCACAGATGTCTGAGCCTAGGAAAACGGATTTTCTTGTAAAGTGATACTCATTGTATATTTAGGCATAAGTACCCGACTGACTATTTGGAGGTTGATTCTGTTACAGATGAGATTTTACCAAAGCACTCACTCAATAGACATAAATACAGTCAAAAGAATTCAATCATTTTTATTCACTGAAATAACTTATTTAAATGTGTGTATTTTGGTATTCTGTTTGGATTGGGTTGGCCAGTTTAAATTCAATTATTTGGCAGCTAAGCACCATATATTTGAACCAGACAATTTTATTGGGTTTTGTATTCTTTAACCAAATCCTGGATGCAGGATATAAAATTTTTTACACTTATATATTCCTCATGTTTTGCATTTTCTTGAACATTTTTGAAGCCTGATAATTTTCATTGGAACTTATTTTAAAGTATAACTTCAGTACGTTCTCATATGCTATTTAGTGGAGTATTTTCTTTGTGATAAGCATGAAATGAAAATATTTTAAGACTCTGGAAAAAAATAGGATTTGAAATATAATTATAAGAGTCACAAAAGTTTAGAAAATATATTCAATAAAAAGTCAAATAGGTTATGAAAATTAGAAATATCTAGGTAGATGCCTGGAATTGTTTTCTTTAGCCGTCGTGCATGGTGTAAACAATGTGGTTCTGCATTTGACCGACTTACATGGAGAAATGTGGTTAACAAAACACAACGACGGTACAGCTTCCTCCTCCTTCCCAGCTCAGGCCCAGATCCTGTGCTCTTCTCCCCTCCCCTCTAATCCCTCCCCTCCTTCCTCCTGTGCCTTCATTGCACACTCCCAACTTTGATGGACAGAGTAGGGAGGGTTTGAAAATTCCTTTAAGACATTGACCTATTAGAAAATAGTAGTGACACTTTGATGCCAAATCTTTTTGGTGCTGTCTTGTTTGCTGTTAAACTAGATAATTTTTTTAATGTTATTTTTTGTCTTATTTCTCTTGTTGCTCCTTTGACCTTTATATGAAGCATGGCTTTTATACTTGTGTGAGCGAGTTAGAGCAGTGTTTCCTTCTGGCTAACCAAGTAATTACCTGTGAACATCATTTGTTCAGTGAACGTTCTGTGAGCACTTGCAAGCACTGTGTTAGGAGTGTTGCATAATTCATATCACAGTGTTATTTAGTTATTCATATGTATGAAGAAACTGAGGCCCGTGGAGGTGTAAACTTGCCCTGGGTCAAACAGCTAGTAAATAATAGAGCCTGGATTGAATCCAAAGCCCAGCCTCCTGCCTCTTCTCAAACAGCTCATAATCTAATTGGGAATACTCGTGATGGTTTTCATTTTTACAATCTACATTTAGAGATGTCTTTGCTTATGTGTGTGTTTCTAGTGTTTTTAGGCAAGGGAGTGACTTCTGGATATGAACGAAACCCTCCCATCTCCTAATGACTTTCCTGATGAAAAACTGTATTGTTATTTATTGCTTTAAGAATGAATCTTAAGATCAATAAGGGATGAGTAGAGAGGGCTTGTAAGAGTAGAGAGAATTACTAGGAGTATAACTTTTGTTGGGAATCTGCATGGTGTATGTGGGTGGGGAGATGGCAGCAGCTCCTGTGGAGATAAAGCATACAAGATTCAGTGGAGAGTGACCTTGCTAAATATGGTGGTATCGTCTCAGATTTTAAAAGACATTAGTACCCCCCAGAGGGATATATCTAACCCGTTTTATTAAATAAATGTTTTATTGGCATTTGTATTAGTTATGTTTTATTTATAAGGCAAACCTTACTCCATTCCATTATTTGTGATGTGTTTTCACTTTCTTAGTCTCCATGCTTTGCAACATGAAAAAAAGTTAAAAGCTACCACATTGTGTGATCGATTTAATAAAATGTAAACATTAAATTCAGTATCCTTAAAATTTTGCCCTATTCTGACTACTTTCTCAGATGTGTATGCATTGAACCTCCTAACCCTAGCAATGAAACTCTGAACATGTGGAAGAAAAATAATATAACAGAACATGACATCACCTGGGGGAATCTCACTGTTTCTGTGAGTATATTATGAAATAAAAGGATTTTGCAAATATTAATCTAGTTCTTTAGCTTTTTAGGAGTATACTGACTTTTTTTTTTTTGATTGATGGTTGTAGTATGTTTTCAGAATATAGTGTTATGTTGATCAAGTAGAAGTTACCACATTTTTATGTATCATGCACTAAAATGTATAGCCTGAACAGAATGAAGCTGGTAAGGGAGAAAAAGATGGAATGTATTTGATTTCCAAGATGTAATAATTAAAAAAGATGTGAACATACTTCTTGTTTCTAATCCAACTTGGGTTGATAAATTCAAAGGAAGTGTTTGCTAGAGGAGTGTCGTTGAATGTATTAGACTTGATAGTTACAACAGCCTGTCTCCACTTGTCCTTCCTTCCATTTATTGGTTTATCTGCTTCACGAACAGTTTATTTAGAAGATTGTCAGTGTTCTGCTAATGTCCTGAATGTCAAACTGAACCTTGTTTAACTTGAAGAGACCAGTCTGACTTTAGCATTAAAGAAGATACAGAAAAAAGGACAAAAACATGGAATGAGTACCTACTGTGTCCTGAACATTATTACATATTCTTGTTTTCTCTTGGGAAATGTTGTCTTAGCGCTAGAATATCTGGTTGGGGTGCTTCCCAGGTTGAGATTTAGACGTAAAAGTGTAAAATGATACTAGCAGTATCAATTAAAACCAAGATCCCCTGAGCTTCCCTGGTGCTTTTTATATCACGTAAGCAGTTGTAGGTCATTTTTTTTTTTCTCACTAAAGGTGATAGTTAGCTCTTCACTATGTAATTGGAAGGATATCATCTGAAATTTTATCCCATTGATCATTTAAGTCTGTGCTGTGCAATACAGTACTCATTAGCCACGTGTGTCTATTTAAATTTAAATTAAATAAAATTAATTAAAAGTTCCGTTTCTCAGTTGTGCTAGCCACATATCAAGTTACTCAGTCACCTCATGTGACTGCTAAGGTTGCTGCATTGGAAAGTGCAGATACATAACATTTCCATTAGAGAAAATTCTGTCCAGCAGTGCTGATATAAAGCATCATACATATATCAGTAATCAACTTAGATTAATGCTTTGCTAGTTCATATTTAAAAAGTCACTTTTGTTATGAAAGAGGTTGAAATAATAGAGGTGCTCAAATGAAAGTGATTTGTTAAAAAAAACCTATTTCGTGCTGATTAGGATGTCTCAGTATTATAGCTATAGGTCTTTTTGTTGTGTTTTCTTGATATCCAAAAGGGCCATGTTAGTTTTTTGTTTTTCTGTTTGTTTGTTTGTTTGTTTTTTGGTAGTAGTAGCTTTTATTTTCAAGATCCATGTTGTAAATTTTAGGTTTAGTAATTTCAGCAAATACAAATTGAGAACAATGGAACCTTTGAGTAGTTTTGGTAAACCTGAGATGTAGTTGTATAAAATGAGTCTCGTCAGAATACAAATAAGGGAAAAAGGACTTCAGAAGCCTGTGCCATTGTTAATCTCTGGTTGCCTTTCAGTTTATTTTTCCCCTAAAAGAAAAATCAAGTTAATAAATTTCTTTAATTCTATTATATTATTGATTTTTATTAATGGAAATATTATTTTAATGGTTTTGTTACTGTTCGTAGTCCCAGGCTTTAATCTCGAAGTCTTGAGTCAAGTCAGAAAAGCCAATAACCGTTTTTATTACTGATTGGAACTTAGTGCTATAGCCATTTCTCATTTAGCATCATAAAAAGGGATAGTAGTAATTTTCTCTCTGTTGCTTTTGTTTTAAGCAACTTGTTCAGAAGTAAAGGAAATATAATCAAATTGTGGACCAATAAGAATGCAGGCAGCCTTTTGGGAATTCATACTCCCTATAAGCCTTTCACTAAAAGGAATATGGAGTTGAAAGAAAGGAGTATATAACTTGCAAAATAGCATATTTCAGTTCATTGATTTAAGATGCACGTATTTTTCAAACTATAGCATCTCTGAACTCAGGATGAGTCTTAACAATCGATGGTGTGTTAAAGTTGACTTGACAGTTTTTTTTTTCTTTCTAAATGAAACATTAAACAGTGGATATCTTACAATCAGTAGCATCTCAGAGTTAGTGAAGTTCATTGGTAATTTATTGAGTATTTGAGAATCCACTTCAGTTCCTCCTTTTTCTCTTTTTTTCCAGGAATGTAAAGCCTTTCATGGTGCATTTGTAGGATCAGCTTGTGGTCTTCATGGGCCTTATATTCCAGATGTGCTCTTTTGGTGTGTTATCTTATTTTTCACAACATTTTTTCTGTCTTCATTCCTCAAGCAATTTAAGACCAAGCGCTATTTTCCTACCAAGGTAATTGGGGTGTAATTTTAGAGTTTTGGTAATAAGTTGTATATTTAGTTTTCATTTATTTCCTCGGTTTATTTCAAAACAGTACTATATTGTTTGAGGTTAAATAGTTATAAATTATTTGTAGTGAAAAATGTATATTACATGTCTGAGCTAGCAGTAGGAAAATAATGGTACCATGAGAGATGGTGGGTTAGTTGTGAAATGTGTTTCTTATCCTCTGGAAAAGATATTAGATATAATGTATTTCACCGACATAAGTATTTAAAATCCTCATTCACTCTTTCTTGTGGCATATTTTAATCTGTGAAAGATTATGTAGAAGGACAAATAATATTTCTGTGTTTATATTAATGTAATCCCTTTGACATAGGTGCGATCGACAATCAGTGACTTTGCTATATTTCTCACAATACTAATAATGGTTGCAATTGACTACCTTGTAGGAGTTCCATCTCCTAAACTTCACGTTCCTGAAAAATTTGAGGTAAGGATTAAATCACTTGGCTATTTGTTACTTAAGCATTCCACACTACTTTAAAGCAATATTCTGCCCCCTCGGTAGTTATTAAAAATATACACGGTCTCTCTGAAGAGCTGATACTTTGAAAGGAAGAATTTTATACACACACACACACGCGTGCGCACACACACACACATTTTTCACACATATAAAAAAAATGACAAGATGCAAAGTGACACGTGAATCTATTAAGGAAATAAGCAAGAAGATATCAAAACTAGTCCATCAGGGAAAAGGAATGAAAACATCCAAGGTGAAGAATTAGGAAACATTTAAAAAACCTGACCCTGCTCTCATGCTGGAGTTCATGATGTACTTTCCAGGCAAAAGAAACATTCTTTATTCCTTTATAAAGAAGTAACTCAAACTTGAAATGTGTAAGAGTAGCAAGGACATCCTAGTTAAATCTCTAGAAGAGTAGTGTATCTGACAGTAATTGGAAAGCTCCATGTAACATTTTCCAGCAGAACCAGGAGAGAATCAAATGTTTTCGTCCACCAGAAAAAGGATACTTAATCTGATCATCCATGAACCCTTTGTTTTCATTAGCGAACTATTGTTCTTTTGTATACAGTATAACATATGTACCTAATAATTATTTCCCCTTCTGAATTGGAGGTAGTAGCTTTTGAATAGCTTCAGGAATTTTCTTACTGTTGTATTTGTGTCAATGCTTATATTTACATTTAGCAGATTAGATGACTTCTTTTAGAAGCAGAAGGTTTAAAGGGGATTAGAAATAAGGAATATAATGAAAATAATTTTAGTCTGTTTTATCTTTCACTGGGATAAAACAATAACATTATTTTTAAAACCAGTGGTCTCCAAAGTAGAGTGCATGGGTGGAAAATGATCCACCAAAATTATTTAAAAGATCTGTTTATATTTTTATCTAAAAATAAGAAAAATTAAGCTTTATAATATTTAATATATGAATTTTGCTATGTAGATAACCATTGGTAATATAACACATGAATAAGTATAGAGCCATTGGGTATTTGTACTCAATCTTACTTATAAAAAATTTAACATTTTTGCTGCTAAGAATATGTAGTAAAAAAGTTTGGGGAGACCTTTGTTTAAAAGCATAGATATTGAGCCACTAAAGATTTTAGGTCATTAAGAGATAACTATATGCAAGTCTATTTTTACCAAATCTTACAAATAAATGAAACTTTAAATTAATATTAGTTGAGAGTATTAATGTAATTTCTTATAGTCATGGCCCATTTTCTTCTTTCGGTTCCTCAATATATCCCTGTTACTCATTTATTGATCTAGTTTTCAGGTAGCAGACTGATTTCCAGGGGAATAAAGTACACTTGGGGAAACAAATTAAGGAGTACTTAAGAATGTATGAATTGTATAGATAAAGTATTATTCATGTGTCATATTGAATATGAATTACTTTAATATATATTGGTGTGGGAAAATTGGAATACTTGAATTAGAAAATACTAAATTTCCCTTTTGTATGGACACATGTTTTCATGAGTCAAAAAAGGCTTAATATGAAGTCTAGGTAATGAAAACACGTTTCAATTTCATTCTATCCGATATCCTCCAGGAATACTCAGCTCTCTTACAATCTTTTTAAAAGTTTTTGCTATAAAACAAATTTTGTATTACAGCATTGAAATGTATTAGCATCTGATAAAGTGTCAGGTTTTGTGTCATTAGATACTTTGGGAAAATGGTGTCCTGAGGTCTTATTCTTAGTACTGGTCCTGCCAAGATCACTAGCCTGAGGGATCTCTAAGGCAGAGTTCTGTTTAGGAGTTGACCTAGTAGGTAGATTGATTTTGAGTTATATGAAATAGCTAAGAGCATGTTGAGATGACACTCCGCTTCACTTATCTATTCCTGCATACTACCCACACCCCCCAACAACAACAAAAAAAACATACTGGCTTTAAGCATTAAGCAAAACCCTTTATTTTTTCATAAATCTGTGGCATTTCGGACTAGGTTTAGCTGGGTAGTGGTCTGGTCTTAAATTGTTTCGGAGCTTTCATGTGGCTGCAGTCATCTGTTGCCTTGATGGGGGTAGTGTGACCTCATTCACATGCCTGAGACTTCAGATGGCTGAAACAGCTGGGGTAGTTGCCTCCTGTCCCTCTCTCTCTGTCTCATCCTCAAGAAAGTTTATCCAGGTGCACTCAACAGCTTTATGTCAGGCTTCCAGGAGGATTAGAAAAGAAGTTGCAAAGGTTCCTTCAGATCAAGACTCAGAAATCACACGGTGTCACTTTGGCTTTATCCTGTTGGTTAAAGTAAACCAGAGATCATTTCAGATTCAGAAGGAAGAAACGGATTCCAGCTCTATAAAGAGTGGCTAAGTCACAAGGACCTTGGACCTGTGTCTAGAGACGGGAAGAATCCCTGTGGCTATCTTTTCAAATAATTTACTGTACATCCCAAGATGTAATCTGGTTCTTTCTGATCCCTTGGCATTTCTTGAAATAGATACAGTCTGTGCTGTGGGAATTTCGTGCAGTAGGAGAAGGAAACTTTCTTTTTTCTTTTTTAAATTTTCTTAACAGCCTACTGATCCAAATAGGGGCTGGATCATAAGCCCATTGGGAGAAAATCCTTGGTGGACTTTATTAATAGCTGCTATTCCGGCTCTGCTTTGTACCATCCTCATCTTTATGGATCAACAAATTACAGCTGTAATTATAAACAGAAAGGAGCACAAACTGAAGGTAACTTGAAAATTTTGTGTCAAGTGTTATAATTCCTTCAAGAGATTGAGGGGTTTTCATAATGATTTGAACATTAAAAGATGTAAGGTGAAAATTAATTTCATCTTAACATTAATTATACTACTTATAATATGTTTTATAAGCAGTACAGAATTTTAACTTAAAAGAACAAGCTAGACTTCTAAATATTCATGTTCATTTCCCTTTTCAGAAAGGCGCTGGCTATCACCTTGACTTGCTTGTGGTTGGTGTTATGTTGGGAGTTTGCTCTATCATGGGGCTCCCATGGTTTGTGGCGGCAACCGTGTTGTCCATAAGTCATGTCAACAGCTTAAAACTTGAATCTGAATGCTCTGCTCCAGGGGAACAGCCCAAGTTTTTGGGAATTCGTGAACAGCGGGTCACAGGGCTAATAATTTTTATTCTAATGGGCCTGTCTGTGTTCATGACTTCAGTACTAAAGGTAAAAATTTCTTCGTTGCAATGTTTTAAAATTTTCTTTATCATAAAATTTATACTTGATTGTGTGAAAATGAAACAATAAAATATCTAAAATTATTTCCATTTCCTAGACTTTACTTGGAAAATAGCTTTTTGGTATGGTGTTTAGTATAGTAGGCTTTTCAGTATTAGATGTATTCATTTGAAAAATAATTTTTAAAAGGGTAGTATGAAGAACAGTTTTGGAAGGAGTTAATCCATGACTTAGTTAATGATCTAAAAGAAGAATATATGCAAAGGATTTTATATTGAAGTAGTGAAAGATGGGTGAAACTTAGTTATTTGACCAAAATGTAAAAATAATATTGCTATTAATTAAATTAATGCATTCATTTTACCTGATAAAGTAAATGAAACAAAAGTAGTAGCACTCAGTAGAAAAACATAAACAGTTACTACTGTAAATGAGGCATCTAAGAAATTACATTTTATTTTAAACATCTTTTAGTCACATCTGATTTTTGCTCTACACATCCTACCAAATCTAGTAATTAAAAAAATATATATAACAACCATAGCAAATATAGCTAAGCATCTAATCTGAAATTTTCTATTTATCCTGGAAGAACTCAACTTCATTTTTTCCCTTGGTGTTTTAGTTATTTTTGTAGTAAAATTACTAAGTAAAGGTTTATATACCAGTTGTGAATTAGGGTACAAGTTTGGAGTATACCATGCATTTATTTACATGGTGGAAAGTTCGGAAATTGATTGTCCAACCTGTATACTATTTATGGGACATAGAAATATACCCCTTTTATTACTATTTTACTAAGCTCCTGCTGCTTGAAGAATAACAGCCCAAGCTTTAAGACCTAATAAGTTTTATTAATATCTGTTTACTTCCCTTACTTTAAAAAAAAAAATATATATATATATATATATATATATAAATATAAATACACACACACACATTCTCCTTTTTCTTATATTTCTTAAGTTTTGTATTGCTAAAGGAATTCCTTGACTAATTTTTTCACATGTTGTGCCATGGGTGGTCAACTTCCAATGTTCTTACGTGTTTCAAAATTATCCTCACATTTGATTGGTAGTTAGGTATACATTTAAACGTTAGAAATTATTTTTCTTTGAGTCTTAAAATCATTGTCTCCTAGAGATCAGTGGTCCTAATAAGAACTCTGGTATCTGTTTAGTTTTCATGACTTCAGAGACTTTTTCTTTTTCTTTCTAGAACTACCAAAATTTCCCTTTTATTCCTGGTGTTCTGAAATGTCACTGGGATATCTGGGGAGATAGGGACTTTTCATTTACCCTACTTGTCTCTCTGTGGCTCATTTTACTCTGGAAACTTGAGCCTCTTTAACTGTGGGAATTTTCTTCCATTGTTTATTTCCTGTTCTCTATTGCCTCTGTGAGATATTTCTTCAACTCCAGTTAGACAGATGTTAGACCTCCTGGGTGTGATTTCACATTTCTGTCTCCCAGTCTCTTTCACTATTAAAGAAAATTTCCTCCTTTCTCTATATCATTATATTGATTTCTTTAGTGTCATCAAAATCATGATTACAAAATTAAAAAAAATGATTTTGATAATTATATCTTTAATTTCCAGGAGGTTTTTTCATTCCGTTTATTTACTTTCCCTAGCATTCTGGAGTTGCTTTATGGATAAAATAGTTTCTTGAAAATCAGAGTATGTTATTAGATTTTTAACATATATGTTTTTCTCTTCTTGAGTTATTTTTTTTCTCCAGGGTCCTTAGGGAAGGACATGCTAGGTTGTTGAGTAGAGTTTTCTCTGTAGCTCTTAGGTCTTTTTTCCTCACTGCTCTCTTCCTTGGGTGAGAATGCTGATTGTGGTTTTTGAGTAAATCGATGGGGCCAGTTAATAGCTTTTCTGTAGGATTCCTGGGCATGGACTCGGTAGATGGTTTAGGATCTTCCCAACTGCCAAAGTAATAAGAACTTTTTTGGTGGGGGGTGGAGTTCAATTATTACAGTCAGTAAATGGTAGTGTGTAATAGTCACTATGGGGTAGTCATGGTAATAATAATGGCTAATGCTTTTTGAGTGAATGATATGTACCATGTGCTTTTTTTGAGCATTTTATTCATTTGAAATCCTTTCATCTTCATGGCAATCTGACATAGGAAACTGAAGGATAAAGAGATTAAGGGTCAATAAGAAGTTAACAGGGGTTTTAAACCAAGTAGCCTTATTATAGCGCTCATGCTCTTAACCATGGGACATACTCCCCTTTTAGGAAGGAACATATAGTAGATAAACATTTTTTATAGAGGTTCTTGTTTACTAGCATTTTTCTTACTTATGGAGAATAAGTTAAATCTCATCACTGAAAGATCTTTTCATTTTATCTCAATAAATACTCATTGACCATGTTTTTGTGTATTTATTACTGTGAAATTATTTTAGTAGCATGGATTCTAATTGTGGTCATTTTGCTTACAGTTTATTCCAATGCCTGTTCTATATGGTGTTTTCCTTTATATGGGAGTTTCCTCATTAAAAGGAATCCAGGTAAGCCTTAACTGTTTAATGATTTTGTAGAAAAACTTTAAAAAAAATTTAAATTTGTGAAGTTATTTTGATGATGGTAGTGATTTATTTTCAACTGTAATATTTTGAGGGCAGGTTAACATTTTTCTGAGTGATTATTAGCTTATTCCACATTTTTTCCCCTGAGAATGAGATCATGGACTGATATGGTCCTACCTGATTTTCATTGAAGCCATTGAAGGGCCCTCTATCATTAAAGACTAGTACAGTATAAGGGAAATCAAAAGAATGGGAATGGGAAAAAAGTGCTGTTTCTGACATGTAGAACAACGATTTCAGTGCTTAAAAGACAAGGCAGATGGATATTAGTGTTCTATAAAGATGGTACTACCTGCCATTTGTATAGGGCCATACAGTTTATAAAGCTAGTATTTAAATTATTTTCTGTTGTTTTGAAAGCAACGTAAGGGAAGCAGGAAAGGAAGAGATAGGAGTACTAAGTTTATAAATCAAGAAACAGAAATAGAGGGGTCTACTGAAGGTTCTCAGCTAAAGAAGCAATGGAGCCAAGGTCAGAATCCAGTGATTTCACTGCCCTGTTTTGTCTTATTTATAACACTTCCTGGAAAACACCCTGATAAAATTCATTAAGATTTGTATCAGTCCAATCTTAGTGTAAAATATTATGCTCATAAAGAATAGTTAGCACTGCATGACTGCCTCCTATCATGGAAAGCATGTTGTCTAAAGGTGCCAGCTAGTGGCTGGCACGACTTCTCCGAGGCGGCCTTTTGATGTTTTCAACATAGGCTAGGGTCTGCGTCCCCACTGGTCCGGAAATGATCTCATTAAGTCACTTTTTTTTTACCTTTCGGATTTTTATTAGTAGTTGTCTCTGAAGAATCAAAATAGTTAGCAAATTTCTTAAAATTCATCAAGACTGTATATCCTTTGTATTTAGAGCTTTAATGATGTACAACATAATACAAAACAAACCCAAGAGACTGGCTTCTGTGACTAGGTGCTATTCATTGTGTCATCCTAGAGCAGGGGCAGCAGGGAGAGGCTGTTACTTTTTTTTTAACAACAGTTTCATGAGGTAGGTAGGGCTGATCTTACTCCCAATTCATAAATGAGGAAACTAAAGCTCAAAAAGGCCAAGGAGTTTGCTCATAGTATCCTTCTCATTGGGTGAAAAATTGGTAATTGTTACCTGAGGTTATTTTCATAGAACTGAAAATTAGATGTGGAAAGAACCTTATAAGATTGTTACTTTTTTATTATACAATACATATTAGAAACAAGTTGAAAGAGAGTAAATGATTTGTGTATTTGATTATAGCAGATTATTTTAATCCCCCAAATCAAATCATTTTGGCTTGAGGTTTTTGATTAAATTCATTACATTTGTTCAAATGATTGCCTCGATTTTTTTTTCATCCTTGAATCTAGATGTTCTATACGAAACAATCCCTTGTGCTGTCAGAACATATCAAGAAAGTTATAGTTTCAATCCCAAAACCCTAAAGTTAATAGAATTTCTTGCCCTAAGCAGCAGAGATGATATTCTTATTGAAAACTTTTTCTTGTTTTGTTTTTCATTCCATACATAGTTTTTTGACCGTATAAAATTATTTGGAATGCCTGCTAAGCATCAGCCTGATCTGATATACCTCCGATATGTGCCACTCTGGAAGGTCCATATTTTCACAGTCATTCAGCTCACTTGTCTGGTTCTTCTGTGGGTGATAAAAGCTTCAGCTGCTGCAGTAGTTTTTCCCATGATGGTAAGTATTTTTTCAGACTTTGTCATTAATTAATAACATTTTTGTGTGTATTGATAGTAATTATTAGTATTTATAATTGACTTGAGAAGAGTAACTCATGTTAAGCATCTTAGGTGTTTTGAAATGTGAATTAGCCCTTTCTAACTATTAAAACAATCATTTTTGAAACTTACTTTGTCATTTTCTAAATTTTTGTTTGTGTTGTTTTTTAGTTTTTTGGCTATAGAATACTGTTTTGTATTTTTGAACAGCTTCAGAGTGTAGCACATATGTGGAACATGTATGATAAACAAATGTAAAAAGCAAAGCAGCCAGAACATCATGGTTCTTTAGTAGAATATTTAAAAACATCTTTTTTCAGAAATTAACAGATCTAGAAGTTACAAAGTAATAAAGATTATAGATGACATTAATAAGGCAACCGATATAATTAAATAAATTATCACAGAATATTATATTTTGCAAATAGAGATTATTCATTCTTTTGTAAATATGTAAAAATTGGTGATATACATGGCTAGAAAGGAAATCTATAAAAAATGAAACAGCTGTACAAATTTCATGTTATATTCCTTCATTACAAATAAATTACAAATGAATGATGAAAAGTCACTAAAATAATTTTAAGAGTTTAGAAAATTAAACGCTGACATAATCTCTGGGTAAAAACTGAGTTATAAAACCATTGTGGAGGTACTGAAATGGAGAACTTTTAACAAAGTGTGGAATACAGCTAAAGTTATACTTGTAGGAAAACATATTCCCTTCTTGCCTTTATTTTTCAAGAAGAGTTAAAAAAAGAAACAGTTTTTTGTTTGTAATGGATAAATTCCTCTCAAGCCTGAGTAAAGAAGAAAATGAGAGAGGAAAATACACAAGATTAAGATGGAGGAAAGATATACGCATATAACTACAGCTATGGTAGAGATTCAAAGGGTTTTAAGAAAATATCACATAAACCTATAACAATAAATTTGAGCATCTAAAGCAGAGTTTGACAAGGTTTTCTGTAAAGGGTCAGATAGTAAATATTTTAGTCTTTGTAGGCCACAAGAATATTATGGAGGCACTTATGTAATGAGAGAAATTTCCACAGTTTCTCATTGATGAAATTCAGAAAGTATCATACAGTTTTTTGAAAATGAAAGACTAATAATGAGAAGAATGGAATTCTTTTTCATTTGGGATATTTCACTTAATTGGGGCTCAAAGTTAGTGTTCTCAATCATTAAATAAATTCCAAGTGTTTATCTATAAAAGCTATTCTTGGGCCGGCCGAGTGGCTCAGTTGGTTAAGAGCTCGCTGAAGAGTGTGAGCTCTGAGCAACAGGGTTGCTGGTTCAATTCCCGGCCAGAGCTGAGCTGCCAACAGGTGGCAGAATGGCTCAGCTAAAAAAAAAAAAAAAGAAGAAGCTATTCTTAGCTTACAGGTGGTTCAAAACAGGTGGTGGATCAAATTTAACCGATGGGCTGTAGTTTGTTTACCCCCTATCTAGAGGAAATAGATGGTTTCCATACTATATCTACATTTCCAGAATTGACCCGAAGGGAAGTATAAAACCTACATACATTTATAACTCAGTTGCGTAGAAGAGACTGGAAAAATGGTTAAAGATCTCAGCTTAGATGATTATGCCCAGATGGATTAACAGCTGCATTTAAAATACAAAAACCGAAAACCAGTTATTCTTGACGAAAGGAAAAGGTGGAAACTTCTGCACTTTCCTTATGAAACACTAGCAAGATCTTAATACCAAAGCTTAATAATGGTGTACAGAAGAACTATGATGCCTTCTCACTGGCTAATACAAATGCAAACATCTTAAAGTAAGATATTAACAAATAAATGTAGTGTTTCTATACGTAATGTATCATGATTAAATAGATAAACATCGATAATCAGTATCAAGAATTAATATAATTAAAGTTAAAAAAACTTTCTATAAAATTCAGTCATTGGGAACAAAAATTTGTAAGTGAGTTTTAATATAGGAAAGCCCAGAATATTAACTCTTGTTATTTGATAATGAATTGGAGATACAACTGTGATATAAGATAATTGGTATAAAAAGCCTAATATCTGTCTGTAATGTGATTGCATACCTATTAACCCAAATGATTCAAGCAAAAATTAATAAGAATTAATAAGAATTTTGTTGGGGGGCTAGATGTAAAACATGAGAATTAATATATAGGCTCTTCGTAACAATGCTAAAAACGGAAATGGAAAAAGTCATATTAACAATAGTGACCCAAAACTATAAAATACTTATGACCAAATTTAAAAGGAAAGCCCTATTTAAAGAAAAAACAAAAACCTTGCAATAATATTTGTATTAGTGTCTCAGGGATACTGTAACAAAGTGCCACAAACTCATTGACTTAAAGCAACAGAAATTTATTGTCTCACAGTTCTGGAGGCGAGAAGTCAGAAACCATGGTGTGGACAGGGCCGTGCTCCCTCTGAAACTTGTGGGCGAATCCTCCTTTGCCTTGTGCTCGCTTCTAGTGGTTTGCTGACAGTCTTTGGCATTCCTTAGCTAGCAATGCATCACTCCCATCTGCGTTCATCATTACATGGTGTACTCCCTGTGTGTCACTGTGCTTTATGAGGACACCAGACATACTATATTAGGAGCCCACCCCACTCCAGCATGACCTCATTTTAATTAATTATATCAACAACAACCCTAATCTCCAAATAAAGCCATATTCTGAGGTACTAAGGGTTAGGACTTAAATATTTATCTTTCTCAGGGGACACAATTCAACCCATAACAATATTGAAGGACATAAAATTAAGACCTGAGCAAATACAAATATAGCATGTTTTTTCTTTTGCAGACTTAGTGTTATAAAAAACGTCGCTCCCAAGTATGAATTTTACTAGTTTTATTTGCATGTTTTTTCCTAAAACAACAAGAATCTCATAAATTTGTCAAAGTCATCAAACTGTACACATGCTACTTTTCTTTTTTACACTATGTAAATTGTATATTAATTAAAAAATAAAAGATATAATAAATACCACAGAATAACAAAACAAAGATTATTATAATTAAGAATTCCTGGCTGACTGTGGGTTGAGGAAGTTGACTCTTGTTGTGTTGATACAATACTGTTTTGATAACTAAATATTTAGAAAATGACTGTCAAGTCAGTGTGGCTAACACAATATGGAATTAACATAGAAAAAGACAAATAGATCAGAAAAATAGACTTAAGGCATTTTGAAATTTATCAGAATATTTGCAAATTCATCACTTGAATACATAAGCAGATTATTTCATTAAAGGTGGTAATTCATTTATGTGGGAAAGTTTAGTATATAGTGTTAGAAGATTTGACTGTATACTGGGAGCTAAATAAGGTTGCTTTTTCTATCTGATACCATACTCAGAAAGAAATCATAAATGAATTCAGGATTTAAATGTTAAAAATAATACTGGTGGAAATTTTCAAAAAATATTTGGTATAATCCAGTCATTGAAGGTAACTTTTCAAAGATAGGGAAACCCAACTGTAAAAGACAGATAGATATATTTTACCACATGTTAATTAAATGTTTTATATATTCATGGTAAAATCAGGTGGTAAACTAGGAGAAAATATTTGTCACATATAAGGTAGCTAATATGTTTTTTATCGAAACTACACAGAACTCTTATAATTCATGAACAAGTCATAAAAACCAATTGCAACACAGGCAAAGGATAGGAAACAGAACAGAAGAGGAAATCCAGATTGCCATGAACACTGGAAAATATCTTCAACTTTAGTAACAGTTAAAGAATAGCAAATTAAGGTGATAGAATGTGTGTTTCACAAATATGATTGGAAAGTTAAAACCTAATGCTGGAAAATGGGTTCTTTAATGCATTGCATAAGAGATTTTTTTTCATTATCTATTTATATAATGTATATGATGCTAAGTTATCATAAAAATTAATAAACTTTTTGTGAAGGCACCATGTTTTTTCTGCTTTATAATTTTATGCAGAGTGCAAGAGATTTATATAGGAAAAGGTATCTTTGAGCAGAAAGTTCAGAAAGATAAATCGGTGGCTCAGTTCCTTTGAAATAAGATGGTGCATGAAATCATTTTTAAATAAAATATATGAAGTACTTTTTTGTTGTTTATGGTTTAATAAATACTTTTGCTCTCTTCAAGTGATATAATTGATATATTTTTAGATGTGACTTAATATTCTCCCCCCCTCCACTTTTTTAAGGTTCTTGCATTGGTCTTTATACGTAAACTCATGGATCTGTGTTTCACAAAGAGAGAACTTAGCTGGCTTGATGATCTCATGCCAGAAAGTAAGAAAAAGAAGGAAGATGACAAAAAGAAAAAAGAGAAAGAGGTAAAAAGACAAGCATTTTAAATTGACATCAATCATTTGTTTATATTTTTGTACCAACTAGCAGGCACTATCACAGTCACTTTACGGGAACCAACTCCTTTAATACCTCCTAAGAACCTTATTATCATAAAGTGTAAGTAACTTTATTATCCCCAATGTGCAAATAAGGAAACTGAGGCAGAGAGAGGTTAGTAGGTAACTTGTCCCAAACATAATTCTTACCCATTTTATCAATTTGCCCCTTTATAGCCCTGACACAAAAATACTTTTTAAAAATGACATACCATGTTGTGTATTTAATCACCTGTCAGAAGAATTTAGCATTTTGAAGACCCAGGTAACACAGAAGAATTCTACACCATAGTCTACCTTCTAATTTAACCTTAAATACATAGTACACTATAACATGCATTTTCACAGCATTTTAATAATCTGGCATACATTATGACAAAAAGGACTTCTAAGTAATTTTTTTTAAATAAAAATTAAATAAAACTTTAGTCTTTATATGTAGAATTCTGTACCATGACTTGCTTGACTTGTAACATGGAAGTTGATTTGAAATATTCTGGAAAAAGTAACCTCTGTGTGTGTGTGCTCTACAGGAAGCTGAACGAATGCTTCAAGCTGATGATACGGTGCATCTTCCGTTTGAAGGGGGAAGTCTCTTGCAAATTCCCGTGAAGGCCCTAAAATATAGGTGAGATAAAACTTGAATCCTGTGAGACATATTTATATGCATGTCAAGAGCGCGTGAACAAGCCATGTAATTCTTCTTTATAGCAGTGATAATATCTATTTTTAAAAAGGTGATAAAACCTGTATCTGGTATATCAACTACACGAGGGCGTCATGCAATTCTGCTCCTTCCCGTTTTAGGTTATAGGCAGGAGCGAAGTAGAAAGCTAGACTTGAGCCAGTGTTAAACTAACTTTCATGCCAAGCAAACGAGATGTGTTTTGTTTTTCATCGCCCTTTCTATTGTAGTGAATGAAGTTTAAAATCAATGCACATGTCTCCAAATATTCCCATTCTCTCAGTAATACAGCTCTTTCCTCTATGCCCTTCGTCAGGGCTGGGGGTCAGTGTGAGCTAGAAAGTAAACATTTGTAATCCATTTTCTAATAACCCTCCAATACATAATTACGTTTAGAAGCCCTAGAACTCTCCTAGTTAACAGGTTGATTTGACCACAGGCAGTGAAGTCTCATATTACGGAAAAATTAAGTTTTGTACATTGTTTGTCATGTATGATGTTCATGATTTATATTTTAAAATAAGAACTAGAGGTAGAGGTTGGGAAATGTAAAATTTTTTTGTAGTTTTAAAAGATTAAAAACTATGTTATTTGTGCACACCTCTGATTTCCCGTTTCTACACTTCATTCATTTCTGATTAGCTATTTGTAGTAGAAAAATCAGTTTAAGAAAGTATATGGATTTCTTCTGTGACACTTAATGAAAATTGTTTGTTGGTATTTAATTGACTTGCTTCAACCTTTTTTTGTTTGTAACTAATCTTTATAGCTTTTACAGAGGTCACATTTGGACTTGTACATGTTGGTTAGTTTTGATAAATGAATTTATTAAGTAATTTTTCTCTATACTTTTTGCGACTAATTTTCATCATTGGTATTATTTTGTGTCACCTTTCATGATCTTCCCGTCAGATCTTTATACAATTTAAATTAAATACCACATACAGCAATCTTAATATATTCAACTATAGTGCTCTGCTTCCCTAGTTCTATAAATGTTTGTGAAATGAATTAATATATTAACTTTGTTGGTTGTACTTCTAAAAAGTTTAGAAACTGCTGTGATGGTTATTAGTGACACCAATTTGTTGAGATTATTTACCACTTAATTTCTGTAGGTCCTGCATTAGCACTTTCTCAGTGTGATTACATATGGGCCTTTTGACAAATTTAAGTGGAGTCTATACTTACACTGTCTGATATTTAACAAAAAGAGTGGGTATTTGTATATTTACTTTTGTTTTTTAAATGATGACGTGAGCCATGATGAATGCTACTTTGCTTGAAATTTGAACATCAGGAATGCCAGGCATTGGCTGACCTGTTTATCTGCCAGAATTTTACATTTTAAGTAGTTTCAGATTACTTGCAATGAGATAATGCATGAAAGCATTTGGAAACCATAAAGCCCTGTAAAATATGAAAATAATTTATTTAATGTAGGCAAATTTTTCCCATCCAGTTTTATTTGGCGGAAAAACAAAATATATATACATATAAATACTTTCTTTAAGAAAGGGCTTAATTTCTAGCCGTGAGAAAGTTCTTACTTAGAAGAGTACATTTAGAAGCCAGAAAATGCTTCAAGAATTTCTCTCTTCAGTTATTTGAAGCTGAAATTGACTTGGTGAAGCAGCCGTTCCTAGATTCTAGTGCCCATGTCATACTTTTCTACCGTCTTATATTTTAAACGATATTCAGATTTAAAGAGTGAAACAAAGCTAGCACTTTTAAATGACTGCTATTTAGTCATTTATTACCTGGCTGCCATCCCATTGTTCTTTTAACATCTAATTTGATATTTGTATCTATCCCTTTTTTGCATGAAATGTTTTTCTTTTGCTGAAGAAAAAAGGCTTGCAAATGTTTCTTTTAACTTTGTAGTACTTTTCATATTCCTTGTGACTCACAAATTTGAGCCCAAAGTTATTTATGGATATCATTATTAGATTTGGATCTTGAAGTAATTTTTGCAGTGTTTCATAGAGACATGGAATGGTTCCAATTTGTCCTTACAATGAAAGGGACATTATTTTGTTCTTTTGATTTTCATTTGGATTAATTTACTATAATAACACTTTGATACTAAAAATGTGAATGCCAGCAAAGAGCAGTATATATAAACCTGTGTTTTATCTGTGGAAATATTTTTAAAGCATTGTTTTCAATTTTAAAATGTCATCTTTCCCAGCATTCTTTTAAATTTTTTGAGAGCTATAAGCAGTTTAAAAAAAAATCATAACCTTCATTTTCCCTTATCTATTAATACTTTGGCTATTTATTTGATGAGATTAAAATTTGTGCCAGTTATAAAAGTTTTCTAATTGACTTGAGGCGGTATTATTTTTTAAATTTATGAGCATATTAATATACTCCTTTATGTGATTTCAACAGTGTATGTATATATATAACCAAGATGATCATCTTGGGCATCATTGTCAATTAATCTTATTCCTAGTTTTGATCATAAAGAAAGATGCATTTCCTCTTGAGAACTTTATAACAGAACTCCAGTATTCTGATATCTTGCTAGACCTTGGTTTATGTGCATGGCAAAGTGTTTTCCCAGTTTTAAGTTGATGAAAGCAAATATTATATAGATAATAAGAATGACATTATTAATGCTTTTGCAATACTGAATACTAACCAAAAAGTGTATTTGTTTCTCAGTGTTGATCCCTCAGTTGTTAACATATCAGATGAAATGGCCAAAACTGCACAGTGGAAGGCACTTGCCATGAATACTGAGAATGCCAAAGTAACCAGATCTAACACGAGGTAGCTGTAACTATTTACGAATTTTCTAACTATAACCAGTTTTCAATTTACTTATGAATAGCTGTACAATGAAACCATTAAATTTAACTCAATTTACATAATTTATATTCTCCTTACTTAAAACCAAGCTTCTTTTCTTTTCTTCCTTCCTTTTTTCCTTTCCTCTATCAATCTGTCCATTATTTTTCTGTATACTGGGTCCAGATATAGATACTGATTGTTTTATTTTTTAAGTTTATAGTTCCCTATGTCAAAAAAATTTAAGCTGTTTTATAATACAGATGAATATGTAACTATGGTAATATACAATAAATATATAAAAGATCAGAAACCATATAAAAAAAGATAATTACTAGGGATTAAATAAATGCTATAACTGATCACTCTACCTCAATCATGCTCTCTGGTGGTCCCAGAAAAAAAGAAAAACATGATTGTTTTCCTTTTTTTGTTGCCGTTGTTTTTTTAGCCTGCAATTTCTCCAGGTGAGGTAAACGTTTTTCTTGAAGGTATTTGGAAGAAATTTAATCCATGGATGTAAAGGCCATTCAGTTTTATAATGGATCATATATCACATAACTATTCCATAACCCCTTTCTTATATTTTTGTTATGTAACCCCTTTTTCTTTCTTTACCCTCATTTCAAGGCCTAAGCCTTAGGGATTCCAGTTTGATAACCACTAGTACTTTAATCCCTTAGGTCTCTGGAGAAATGAGATATTATCTTTTAGGAGGGTACTCAGTCATTCATATTTAACAAATATTAACTTTGTGTACACTTTATGCCAGACTATGTTGGGTGTCAGTATCCTCTGCTTGTGCATCAGATCAAACTTTTCCAGGCAAGCAATCACCTAACTACTTCGGTTTAGTTATTGTTTTTCTGGCCTCTGTTTTTTGATAATAATTGACTAGGTTTTCTCATCCATTCCCTACCTCCTTTTAGAACCTTGCTCCTACTTAATCTCTATCATTTCTGTTTGTTTATTTTATACCATCATTTCTTGAGCTCTAATTTCTAAGCCAGACGGTTTTCTTTCTTCATGTCTATCTTTGATCTTAAAAGTTTTTAAGTTAAACATTTTGGATTATTCCATGCATCCAGAATTTCACTAAATACTCTTTTAAAAACTCTTAATTTTTCATACCTTATCAGCACTCCTGGCTCAGATGGTCAGTGTAGCTATGATAAATATAAAGATCTTGCAATAATATTATAGTATTTTTAAACTTCTGCCTTTCATTTTGGTTTTCCCTCAATTCAGAATCAAATGGGAAGAAAGAAAATGTTTGGGTTATGTTGTTTAACAGAAAAAAAAAAAAAATTTTTTTTCCCGGGGTGGAAGGTTTCCTTCACTTTTGTCTAGAGAAGGCAGCAAAGCATATGTGTTTTTATACTTTTGAACAAATTTCAAAACCCAGATATTCATGTGTTACAATTAAGTTAATTAAATCTGTATACATGGAATTATTGTATTTGATATAACGTTTTGAAAATATAGAATATGTGTTTTGATCTTAACATTTGTTAGCCAAATTTGGTGAGAGAAGGCTTATAAATTTGTTACATTTTTTAAGGAAATTTGTTTGATGCTTACCTGTAGTAACAAAGATTAATTTTTTAATGGATTTATCAGTGAAATAAAAGTCCAGTGTTATAACTGTTCATATATAAAGTAAAACTAGTAAATTAAGCATAGTCGTATACTGACCAATTTTAATGGGTTTGTCTTCAGTTGTAAGAAAAACATGAATTTTAGTGGGAAAAATATCCATTGGGGGGAAAAAAAAGCCTAAGAATTTTTAATATTTGCCTTTCCTATTAAGTTTACTGATAGGAAAAGAAAGCAGTAAAATAATAATAGCAAGACCTGTTTATAGTATTAATAGTCATCTCAAAGGCTTATTATGAATACTTAGTGTTGGCCGTGTTTAGAATGTAATATCTGTCCATTTCAAAATCATTTATTCTGATTCTTCATTTTCAATAGCCCTGAAAAACCTGTGAGTGTGAAAATAAATATCGAAGATGAATCAACAAAGAAATACATGGATGCCGAAACTTCATTATAGAATTGAGCCAAGAGGAATTTTATATATAGATATACAGATACATATATATATGTATATATACATATACATATATATATGTAAAATGTGTATTTCATGTCACTATACATAACAATATTGTACATCATGCTATTTATGCGTGACCACTGGGTTTTTTAAGTAGTGTCTGAAGTTTGTTAGGAGCGCCATGGAAACTGTGTATATAATGAAATGGTCTTTTCGAAGTGAGGTACATGGTTCTTGCTATTCAAATATTTATTCTGTTGAAAACATTTTTTCTGTTCTGAAATAGAAAGATGTGGGGAAATGCATTCAATCACTTTGAATCTGTGCGTTCATCAGCGACAATTCATACCAACCTTAAGTGATATATACTTTGTTCATATATTTATAATTTTAACTTGAGTTTCTAAAAACTTTCACATATTATTTCACTTCTATTAGTACTTTGTGGTAAGAACAGGGAGTCTTTATGCCAATGCTGTGGGACAAATGATAGCATGTCATGGCTTTCCTTTGTGTGGGTTTCATTTATGTATAATAGATGTCCATCGGCTTTAATAAGTGATGGAAATTTTTTAGCTACAGAGGTAGAACAATGGAAACTTTCTAGATAAGAACTATAGTTTTGACCTTTTTGTTTAAAAATTTGTTTTAAATCTTAAAACCTCCACATCTAAGTTTCCATTCAGACGGACAAGTAAAATTGCAGATGATTTTATAATTTAACACCCATACCAGTCATAATTTTGTGAATTTTAGAAGCTATAAAATGCCAATTTACAATAGTTAAATTTTGTTGCCTTTGTAGAAATTTTTTCTGAAATCTAATACTTTATTAAGAGTCCAGAATGCCTACTCTGTTATCTGCCTTGCTGTCTTTTACTTAAAATGTGGTTTAGTTTGTATCAGGTTCAAGTTTTTGATTATTTTTCTATTAGTACGATTTAGAAAGTAGTAAGATTTAATAATCAGGAGTCAGAATTCTCTTAAATGGGTTTGTGATCAGTATTACTTTATTCTATTAAGAATTACCTTCATTTTCTATTTACGATATTCTTTCTATTGTATAGATAATATTTAATAGATTGTATCTGTGATTTCATTTTAAAATATTTTATTTATTTTAATTGATGCAATGCTTAAATATTATATAAACATTTGAAGAGGTAACAAATATAAAGTAAATTGTTCATGTGAATAGTTGGTGCTCACTTGCATTTATGGTTTATTATCTGAAAGCAGTTGACAGATTTTACATCTTTGATATAAAGCACTGCCATATTTGTATTTTAAAAGGAATTTAGACATTTTATGTATAGCTCAGATTGATGGCATTCTTTCTATTTTGTGTTAATATTTGTTATTTAGCTTTTGCTTTTCTGAGCTGTCTTTAACTTCTAGCAACATTTTTAGTCATCTTTTATATACTCTTAGCTCCACATGAAATAAATAAACGTTGTTCTTGTTAAGCCTGTAGGACTGGATATATGGGGTTGTGAAACTAATTTGGCAAGAGGATAATTTAATAGAAATGAAATGAATATTGAGAAGCCACAGAAATATTGACAGTAGTGACCATGGATATTAGGATGAAAATTTCAGTGCTCCCTATAATCATTTATAATTAAAGTACAAAAGTATGAAGAATTGTTTTAATAGAGGATTGTGAGAAATGACAAACACTGGTATTTTAGCAATTCTGGTGTTTTTAATCCGTTCTAAACTATGTAATAATTAATGTAATTTCCCCATCTGAGACTGTATTTTCAGACTCTAGTTCAAATAACAGATTCAACTTCTGTCTCAGATGGGAGGTTACAACTGTAGCTACTTTTACTTAGAAAATAATGCTGGCATCGTCTGGTACTGCCGAAGAAAAGAGTTAGACTCTATTGGCCTTTGATAATAGAGTATTTCCATGGTGCTTGTTACTATTTATGAGCTTCCATTGAAGTGATTCCTTTTTATTCATAGCAGCATAATCATTTCCAAAGACCACAGTATTTGCTGCTATATTTTGTAAACTCCCCTGATGTACCTCAACAGGAGGATTTCCTCACATCATTTCCTTGTGTCTGGACATCATAGGGATTAACAAATGTGCTTAATTTTTAGGAAGTGATTTTAAAATTTAAACTGAAAACTACCTGAGATCATAGTGTTTCTGTGATTTTATTTAATTATGTATAGTAATTGTCCAGTGCCAGAAAAAGCATTACTTGCAAAATACGTTGCACTCAAAATGTTTTTAGTATGTTTTTAATTGTGAATGGTTTCTGCTTTCTTTGACTACTTGACATACAAAATGATTTCATATGACTACTCCATTGAAGAGCAAAGGTAACTGATGTTTAAGTAATTAACTGCTTGTTGTATGTGGTTATGATATTATTCCACTGTTTTCAAAAAATAACAATCATGCATAATATTCATTGCAAGACAGTGAAACATATAATTTACTACATATATTGATTTTTTAAATATTGCCTTAAATAGGTGGAAAAGAGCAGTAGTAATTGCTGTGTACTGATTTACCTCAAGGTGCAAAAGAATCAAACCTGTACATATTCCATTTGCAAAATAAATTCATATAAACAGCCCTGCACTTTCTTAGATGCCTTGGTTTCCAGAATGGAGCTTAGTGCTACTGAATACCCTGGCCACAGTGCCACCTCAGGATATTCTTCTCTCCACCCAATTTTATTTATTTATAGATGTCTGTTTACAAAGACTAGAAGAAATCCCGATGTTGACCATCTGAAATTTACTTTTTTTTTAATGCTATTTCACTTTAAGATAGCAGCTTTTGAGGAAACAATGAACTAACTTCCTTATGATAAAAGGATGATTCTGTATTTCTCTAATAATAAGACATATGATGAAGTGAAGCACACAAACTTTCTAATGGGTGTGTGTATGTGTGTGTCTGTGTGTGTGTCTGTGTGTCTGTTTAAATGATTTATGAAATCGTAAATCTCTTAAGTTTAAAAAAGCTGTGGAGTATCAATGTCCACATTTGCCAAGTCTGTAAAAAATGGACAACATTTTTTATGTGCGAATGCATGTATTTATAAAGCAGATTTTGTTACTATTCAGAATTAACTTTTGCTTTTTTTCATCCAAAACACATTTCTGTTTTTTCCACATACTTAAAATGTATGTATGTATATAATAGCTTTCTAACTTTTTTGCTTTTGCAAAGACAGTTTCAAAATTCTGTAAAAAGAAAAATGGTTTCTGAAACTGAGGTATGACACCAGAGCTTGCTGTTTTTTAAGGATTATATCATGTACATCAGTTCTATAAATGTGCTCCACAATTTTACATGTGAATCCTGTTTTAAAGTGCTCAGATTTCAGACATGTATGCCATTGATATAACATTGTAATTAAAAAATGTTTAATGTTTTAAATTTATTTATGTAGATCACATCATTGTTATCATATGCAGTTCAAATATGTGAAGTGTCTTGGTTTAGTCCAACAATTATTTATTTTTTAGAAAGTAAACTTAAAGACTTTAAGGACATTCAAAATCTAAAATAGTTTCAAAATTCAGCAATTTGGCAATTTGAATGTAAAGTTGGTTCTTTTTTTAACTTTGCAAAAAGTAATATAAGTATCAATAATAGGAAAATCTAGTTGGAAATGGAATCATCTAAAGATCATTGAAAAAAATTAATTAGCACATATTGAATTCTACAATTAACTTAGAAAAATTATTAAACCCTAGTTGTTTTTTTAATCAGATTTTTGTGCATTGATTGTTGTGGCTTTTTTTTGTTGCTTTAATATTAAATTTTTTTGTTTTGTAGGGGAGGTTATTTTCCCAGTGTGTACTATGTTTAAGTAAATAGAAATTGAATTTTGTTCATTTATATAATATTTGATAGGTTGGTATATAATTTTACAGTACAGTTCTAATTTTTATGACTTTTATAATTACAATGACAATATTTTCTTTTGTAATAAAATCCAAAGTAAATTAAACATTTAAAACAGAACTGATATTTTTCATTTATATGGAGTACAAGTCTCTACCAAGTCTATAATGTGAATGATCCTACCTTTCAAATTTGTTCATAATTGTTAGAAGAAAACTATATTTTGGAGATGTTACTGAAGTTGAAAGAGCAATAAAAGTCTACTGAATTAGTTGTTGGATGTTGTCTTGACTTTGCACTTTGATTATTAGAAGAGCTGCATATCTTTCTCAGGAGGAGCAGTTGGGTAATAAGCCATTTCTATTTCCTGCCGCCTGATATCCATATGCCTCAGGAAAAAGGAGAACAGCGAGAAAAGAAGATGAAACAAAATAGTGTGTGTTCACAATGATTTTTTGATAGTTAAGAAATATTGAAATTAGAGCCCTTTAAGGTACGCTGGCCCATTATTTTCCCTATTTTAAGACATCTATTTAAGATAGAATTTTGCAATGGATATGTAATGAGCATACATTACATGATGTGTAATGAGCATATAAATACTGAACTCTCACAGACCCAAGGCTTGTTTTTATTTAATGGCTAATTATGAATTTTTAAAATAAAATAATAGCAAATGACAGGCCTTGGTTTGTTTTCCATTTGACATGTATGTAACCACCTGTGTTCTATACTGTAAGCTTCTGTTATCTCACCATGAATTAGATAACCTTTGGGAGTGAGATGGAGAAAGGTGCTTATGGCTTAGGATATTTCATTTGAAAGTTTTGCTTACATTTATTGTGGGAAAAAATATTTTTGTTAATTTATTATTTCCATTTACAGAACTTTGAGGGGTTTTTTAGGAGGAGCCAGGGAAGAGGAAAGGAAATAGTTTCTCATTACTTTTTTTTTATTTTTTTATCTTGCTCATTAAGGTATGTGTGATCTCTTGAGTATCAGTTCTTTCTGTGGTTGAACTTTGTTTACATTCCTACCTCTGTGCTTTTAATGAAAACATTCCTGTTTGAAAAACATTCTATTTCTTTGCTATTCTTTAAAAGCTCAATTTAAGTTCTGCTTTTTCTTCAAATTGTGCTCAGCCTGTAAGATCATTCTCATTCCTCCACTGAAAGAGTGTGTGTGTGTGTGTGTGTGTGTATGTATATGTGTATGTGTATGTTTAAATACCCTCACACCCCCACCACCGCCCCTACCCCCGCTGTTTTTTGTCCTAGACCAGTGGTCTAGGGTTATTATGAAATTTGGAGGAAGTGTTTTCATCTTGCCAACTTGAACCTGAATATTTCAGGTTTACTTTTGTAAAGTTACTTTTATTCTTTATGTTATAGTTATGATACTGTTTTACTTTTGAACTATGTAATATACATTATCTGAATTCATTTCAGGATAGTAAAAGGGGTATTAGAAAACAGAAAAGGCAGGTGTTAGGTCTTACAGGTTTGTGCTCTACCACATCAACCATAGGCTTGGCACCAGCATGACTCCTCGGGGGTCATGTATCTTGATCACATTGCAGGGACAGTGTGGCCCCTTACTAAGTGGAAAGTGACAGCACACCTCTCTTCCAGGAGCCAGTGTCTTCCATGCTCTTAATCTCCTAAGCAACTTTCAGCTATTATATATTCAGGGAAGGCCGAAACATTAATATTTTGTTGAGGAGAAATGTGGGAAGCACATTCAGGATTCTGATAAAAAGTACACTGAGTCATTTTGTCTCACTGCTTAATTTTTTTAAATGTAGAGAACACTTTTTCTACTCAGCATAAGACTGCCTGTCCCTGTCAACTTTTTTTTTTTTTAGTAACATTAGTCCCTCTGGTTTTATGATCTCTGAAGTTTAAATTTGAATTAGTCCTACTGAATTTACCTGAGTTGGCTTTTGTCTCACCTTTCTGTATTTCCAAAATGAAACCTTAGTATTTTAGTTTAAAAAATACATTTTCAATTACCAAAATCCACGTGTTGCGATCCCATTGGGCCTACTTTTCATTATTCAAAGCAGAAACACCAGGGGAGGGTTCACTTCATTTTAAATCAAGTTTTGGGAGATTTAATCACACTTACTTGACGCTGTAGTGGGCATTTGGAGCGATATTAAGATGGGATTGACTAGTTCCTATCCTTGAAGAAATTCTCAAGGGAAAATCAGTTGACAATTGGTTAAGACTGTGCTCTAGATTCAAACTGTAGGTTCAACCCTGCCTCTCATCACTTAATGAGCTCTGACATGGGCAACTTAGGAAACTTCTTGTGCCTCCATTTTACAGCTCCAAACTGGAATGAAAAATAACGACTACCAGATGATGTGAAAAACAAGTGAAATAAAGAGGAAGAATTTGGAATAGTGCCCAGCATAAAATGGTCACTCAATATATTTCACTTTTTAAAGCTCCACAATGTGAAGTAAAGTCTTTTTAAAGCTTTATCTAATGCAATTAAAATATTTTCCAAGAAGAAGCGTCAGGCTTTCATAAAAGGTGAAGAGACTTGCCCAAAGCCACAAAAAGAACCAGTGTCAGGTGTACCATGGAGATCCTTTGAATCTCAGGTCACTCTTCCACAACCATATTGTCGTTGCCTGAAGCATGCAGTACGCTCGAGTAACTATCTTCATACTATATGAAAGCTATTTAACATGTAGCATTGATCCTAAACTAAATCTTTGCTTTGAAATCGAATTGATTTTTAGTCCATAGCAATTCTTGGAACTAAACACCCTAAGATGAAGGAAGCTGCTCTTTTATACCCACTTTATTTCAAATGTTAAAGGTTAGGCACATGAGGTCGAGAAAAATCCACAGCATTTAGGAAACCTGAACACAGGCAAGTACACCAGCTCTAGGACGGGGTGAAGCGCCTGCAAAACCACCGGTAAGCACCACCTCGCTCCTCACCAGCTTGCAACCTTGAGGCTGCAACCTGCGCGTTCTCTGGTTACTACGGCAACACCGAGGCCGGCGTCACCTGTGTCTATAGCGCTTGGCACGCGGCAGCACGGTTGGTTTTGATTGGCTGCGGATCCTCGGTGAGGCAGAAGAAGGGGTGTTGGCATTGGCTCAGCCAGCGCCGGTTGGTAGCCTAAAGGAGGGTTTGGCTGAAAAACCAACGGTGCAGCTGGTGGTGGTGTCCCCTAAGTTGAGGGGACCCGGAGTTGGCTGGAGGGAGGACGGGACGGTCCCCCCTATCCGGAGCAGCGGGTGACAGCAACGGAGACAATGAGAAGGATGATTTAGAGATTGGCCTTAAGGAGGGACCCTCCCTCCGGCGCGGTGAGTAGGGCAGGAGCGGGCGTTCCTCTGGGCCGGCGCGCGGTTTAAGGCAGGATCTCCAGGGAGATGCCCACAGTTTCCTGTTGGAGCAGCCTCGATTCCTTGGGCGTTGGCTTCACTCACATGAGGCAGGGGCACAGTGAGGGCTGTTGTGATTAGGTGAGTCACCGTGAGCCTGTCTCATAGCAGATGGGTTGGTGTTGGGCGAACGGATGGTGGGAAAGTGCCATCAACGATGTTTGCTCGATGAAGGAATTATTCTGGTTACATGGAGCCCGAGTGTGTCTCTTCAGACTGCTCACACATTTCTGGAGACTCAGTCCTAAAACCCTTATGGGCGTGGCGTTTTTTCGTTCCCTTTATATGATGCTGCTCTGACTGGCTCTAAGCTTTTCTGTTGCACGTGGGTGAGCCTGTCCACTAACATGCCTCAGGCACCATACGTCTGCTGAAGACTGGAAAGCTTTCAACGCCATCCAGCCTAGCATGCTAAGCTCCAGACCCCAAAATCCAACTGCCACACATGTGCAACCCTAAACGCCTTCTCCTCCCACTCCCACCAGACTGTCTGGCCCTTGGATTCCCTGTCTTGGGCACCACCATCTATTCAGTTACCAAAAACACTTTCTGGGCAGTATCTTTGACACTACCATCTCTTCTTCTGCATGTCCATCAATTATCAAGGCTATACCTTAATTGCTGTCAAATCAATTCCCACACCACTGTCTCCATTCTCCCTATATTGCAATTTCCACCACTCTCCTGGTTAAATTCACCACCCATCCAGCGTCCCTAATTCCAGTCTGGTTCTATCTGATCCATTTTTACCGCTATTGTTCGATTGGTCTTTCTAAAAGAATATATAAGTCTGTTTCACTTCTTGCAAAGAGTCTCCGTTATTCAAATACAAACTCCTTAGTTAGGCCTTCCATCAGCAGTTCCATTTTGGTTGTTCCCAGAACATGCCGCACTCTCCCACGTGTGGTATTTTCACCTGCTGCTCACAGCGCCTGCAATGGACTCACTCCACCTTTTGCACCATCCCCAGCTCTCTCTCATTCCCCAGTCATTCTCTGTGTGTTGCCTGATTACTTTTCTGCTTCCTCCTCCAGACTCTTCCTGTAGGGCAGAGGCCATGTTTGTTTTACCCACCATTTGTTGCTCATGGCATAATCATTAGGATGCCAGCTGTGATTGTATGCCATAATTTAATACGGAAAACAGAGAGTGCATCATAGTTTGCAAGAGATACACTTTAGAGTCAGACACTCATATGTGAGTGAGTCAGACGTATATGGCTCCAGCATTTTAGCTCTGTGATCCACAGCAAATTAACCTCTAATTAGCTTCTTTAGCTGTACTGTGGGCTAATATTAATACCTACCTCATAGGACTGTTTTAAAGACTAAATGCACACAATCCATATCAAGTGCCTTATACTTAGTTCATTTTCACATGTTTAAAAAACAGAAACATTCACATGAATGTTTGTAGTGCTTTATTTGCAATTCCCAATATCTGCAAACAACCAAGATGTCCTTCAGTGGGTGAATGGATAAATAAACTGTGATACATCCGGACAATGGAATATTATTTGGTGCTAAAAAGAGGTGAGGTGTGACACCACGAAAAGACATGGAGGAAACTTAAGTGCATATTATTAAGTGAAAGAAGCCAATCTGAAAAGGCGACTTACTGTATGATTTCAACAATATGACATTCTGGAAAAGGCAAAACTATGAAAACAGTATAAAGATCAGTGGTTGCCAGGGGTTAAGGGTGGGGAAGAAATGAATAGACAGAGAACAGAAGATTTTTAGGTTAGTGAAAATACCGTATGATTTTATAATGATGTGTCCATGTCATTATACATTTGTCCAAACTCAGAATGTACATCGAGAGTGAACCACAAGGTAAACTGTGAACTTTGGGTGTTTATGGTGTGTCAATGTAGGTTCATCCTTGGTATAAAATGTACCATTGTGGTGAGTAACATTGATAATAGGGGAGGCTGTGCAGGTGTGGGGGCAGGAGGTAGGTGGGAAATCTCTGTTCCTTTCTGTCAAATTTGTTGTATACCTAAAACTGTCCTAAAAAATAAAGTCTAAAAGAAAAAAGAAAGAAAAAGAAACACATTGAAAGTTAGAATTATGAAATCTGCATGGTTCACTCATAAAAGGTAAAAATCAACCTTTTAGTTCAGTCTGGTGCAATTTCTAGGACATCATCCTTCTGCTTGATCAGACCACAGAGGGTGCCAAAAAATGCATACACATTTTAAGAAAGGAAAAAAACGGCATTTATATAATGTGCATATGTTTGTTACACTTGACATAAATGTGAATACCCACCTTTTCTTCAGGAAATTTTATTGTCCCGTTCGTGTATACTTGAGCTAGTCTATATGTAACATGAATATCGTACTTACTTTGTGGCTTCTTTGTGTTTATAAAGAGATTTTTCTCAAACCAACATTCTGTAATAACTGGATACTGGTCAGCTGGGGCAAACTTAGTGTTTGCTGAAAAAAACTTAGTTTTTTTCTTCATTATCTTTATTCTCCATATCTAAACAATGATACTCCAATTATACTCGGAGCTTCCCAATCATGTTTCACGGGACTTGTTCATTCATTCATTCATCAATTGTTTATTGAATACTTCTTCTTTTGCTATAAACTAGCAGTGCTGTGCTGGGTGCTGGGAATGAGAAAACTGGCTGTCCTTTTTATCCCCGATTAGTTTATAGTAAACTAAGAAGACACACATGCGTATTTATCAAATTATTGCCTGAATCTGCTCCTTTACTAAGGGCTGCAAGGCAGAACCTGGTGGGGCTGTGACCCCCATCAAGGAGGTCAGTCAGAAGTTCCTTAAAGAATGGATATGATGGATGAGCCTACCAGGATTTTCTGTACCAATCTGTCCCTTGAGTCCAGGAGTAAATGTCCCTGGGTGTCCAAGAGGAGCAGGTCTGGGACAAGGAGTCGGGGGCCAGGTATGAGTGGAGCTGGCTGAGGGGCAGAGGCCGCATCTCATGGAACACATCACAGGCCTTGGTGATTTTTGTTTTCATCCTAAGAGAAATGGGGAGCCCATAAAGGTTTAATTGGTCAAATTTGTATCATAAAAAAAGTGCTTTTGTTGCTGTGTGGAGAACAGATTTCCTGCTTTTTGGGAGGAGGAGAAATTGGAAGTTATGGCACCATTTAGGAAGTGATTGCTGTAGTTCAGGTGATGATGTAGCCTAGGGTTTTGGCAGTGAGCTTGGAAATAAATGAACAGAGAGGGACCATATCGAGTAGAAAAAATAGTCAGGATTTAATGACCAAATGAGCAAGGGGGTGGGGGAAGAGGCAGGTGTCATTTTTCTGAGGGTCGTGCCAAAGGGCTATGCTTTACTTGACACTATTTTGTCCCATAAGTAAGCTGTAGCCTTGGAGGCCAACACTCATTTATGTACCCATCAGTCACCTATTTCCAGATTCCTCAGCTCCAGTTCCACTCCTCCTCACCACCTCCCAAACCCACTCTCAGGATGCTGGTTTGCTCCATCCCTTGTTTTCTCCCCCGGAGTATCCTTCACCCTCCCTGCCCCTTCTCACAGACCTTCTTCCAGCCCCCAGTTGTGAGCCTTGCTATAGCCCTTCAGCCCACAGAATTCATTTCCCTGGAATTCATTCAACTCGTAATCTCCTTTGGAAATTAATTTTCTCTGCTTTCTGACAGTTCTCATGTTCTTATTTAATTTCTTGTTTTAGGTTGAACTATAAGAAATGGTCCTTTTTTTTTTTTTAAAGGCCCAATATCAGCAGTTTCCTATTGTTTAACTACATATTTGTGATTTCCCACACACACTGAATTGTGGATGGGAGTTTTTGCAGTGCCCAGTAGTGTCTTGTTCACAGTCAGAGCAGAATAAATTTGAAAATGCACTTAAAATCAAATGTTAGTCAATGGAATTTAATTTTCTGGCTCAGAAAGTACTTCTGGTTTCTTGTGCTGCCAATTGTTATGAACTTCAATGTGTTTATCCAGTGCTCTCTTCACTCTTAAAAAGCCTGGGGGGGTGGGG